CACCCCTCAAAGACGGGGGTGCGAGGGTCACCACGAGAGGCTCCTACAGCGACTATGCTCTTCTCTATCACAAGGAGGGCCTTCTCGAGGAGGTCAACGGTGAGAGTGGTGAGGCAAACTGAGAGGAAGTGGTCCCTGACTACGCAGAGAGAATCAGGGAGCCGGGTGACTATGTAGTAGAGGAGGCTGTACATGGGGGGGGGGGTTCTTGCGCAGAACTCAGCAGGAAGCGCAGCGCAGTAGCGAGTGTCACTAGTGCGGAGGTGCGTAATGAGGTCAGCGACTGTGGGAAAGGCAGCAAGGTCAGGGAAGAGGTACGGTAGCATGAGGCGGCTCAGTGCAGCAGTGGCAGGGGAAGAGTAGCGTGCAACTACAGCGTCATACAAGGTCTGAGCACTCTTGTATTGGCTAAAGTGTGCACGCTCAGTGGTCGGTAAGTGGCGGCGCACAGCAAGACGAGCAGCAGCATCGCGCATGGCCCACTGTGAGCGAACAGTGGCGTCAGCATCAGCAATAGGGGCAGGGGAGGCACCAGAAGTGAGGTCAAAGAGGGAGAGGCCGTATGCCCTATCGCACTGCAGGAAAAGCTGCAGATCATCTACCCAGACCTCAAAGTCCAATGCCCTACCGTCAGCGTTAAAGTTGAGAACGCTAGGGGAGGCCGTAACAGCAGTACGCAGGCAGTGAGTACAGTGGGGCAGGGCAGTGCAGTGGCAGAGACTATGCTCTTACCAGGCAAGTGGGGCGGTCGGGCGGCTCGGCGGCTCGGCGGTCGGGCGGCTCGGCTGCTCTGCTGCAGCTCGGAGGTCGGGCGGCTCGGTTCCTCGGTGCTGGGCGGCGCGGCGGTCGGGCGGGTGGCTGCTAGGCGGCTCGGCGGTCAGGCGGCTCAGCTGGCCGGCGGTTCGGCTGCTCGGGGGTGCGGGCGCTGGGCGGCGGGGCTGCAGGTGGCGGCGAGGCCGCAGGTGGCAGCGGGGCCGCAGATGGCGGCGGGGGCCGCAGGTGGCAACGGGGCCGCAAGTGGCGACGGGGCCATAGGTGGCGACGGGGCCGTAGGTGGCGACGGGGCCGCAGGTAGCGACGGGGCCATAGGTGGCGACGGGGCCGCAGAGGGGCCTAAACGGGGCCGCAAAGGGGGGCCAGACGGGGCCGTAGCGAGGCCAGAAGGGGCCGTAGCAGGGCCAGATGGGGCCGTAGCGGGGCCAGACGGGGCCGTAGCGGGGCCAGAAGGGGCCGTATCGGGGCCATAAGGGGCCAAACGGGGCCGCGGAGGGGCCTAGTGAGGCCGTAAGGGGCCGTAAGGGGCGAGGCGGGGCCGCGGAAGGGCGTAGGCGAGGCCGCGACGGGCCGTAAGGGGCCTAAGTGGGGCCGCTAGGGGCCAGACGGGGCCGCGGAGGGGCCTGTCAGATTTATATGACATAGTTGCTGTAGGCTATAGTGGGGTAGCACATATAGGGTACAGGGTTTCTAGGGTTGTATTTGTACCCAATCTTTCCTTAGTCATTTCATTCCTGCTTACTCATTTCACATGGTATAGAGCGGGTTCCCTGTGGAACTCTGCCTAGGGCCCACCGAAGCGCGCCCCGAGGCGCGCTCAACTTTTTTTTTCCGCTCTCGAGCGACCCTCCGTGTCGCCTCCCTCCCACACACGCGGCCCAGCCGCCCGCTAAGTCGCGGCCCAGCCGCCCGCTACGATCGCGGCCCCAGCCGCCTGCTCGACGCGGCCCCCAGCCGCCTGCTCGACGCGGCCCCCAGCCGCCTGCTCGACGCGGCCCTGCCGCCCGCTACGCCGCGGCCGCCGCCCACTACGATCGCGGCCCCGGCCGCCTGCTACGACCGCGGCCCCAGCCGCCTGTTCGACCGCGGCCCCGCCGCCCCGCTCCTGTCGCGGCCCCGGCTGCCTGCTCGCACGGCCTCGCCGCCCGCTACTACCGCGGCCCCAGCCGCCTGCTCGACCGCGGCCCCCCAGCCGCCTGTTCGACCGCGGCCCCGCTGCCCGCTACTGTCGCGGCCCCCGGCCGCCTGCTAGCGCTGGCCTCGCCGCCCTCTACTACCGCGGCCCCGGCCGCCTGCTTGCACGGCCCCCGCCGCTCCGCTACGACCGAGGCGCCAGCCGCCTGTTCGACCGCGGCCCCGCCGCCTACTACCGTAGCGGCCCGGCCGTCCTTCTCGCGCGGCGCCCAGCCGCCCACCTACTACCGCGGCCCCCGCCGCCTGCTACGACCGCGGCCTCCCAGCCCACTAGGCTGCGGCCGCCGCCTGCTCAACCGCGGCTTCGCCGCCCACTACGCATCGGCCCCGCCGTCCACGCTGTAGCGACTGTGCGGGCGGACCTCTGAGCAGCTGTGCCGCCGAGCCGGCCCGGGGAGTCGAGCCGCCCTGCAGCCGAGCCGCCCGGGAGCCGAGCCGCCCCTGCACCCGAGCCGCCCTGTCGCCGAGCCGCCCGGGAGCCGAGCCGCCCTGCCCCCGAGCTGCCCTGCCGCCGAGCCGCCCGGGAGCCGAGCCGACTGTGCACCCGAGCCGCCTCCGGTCGCCGAGCTGCCTTTCTGTCGAGCTACGCGACCTGCCCTGCCTGGTGAGCACAGTCCCACTGTCACTGCGTGCTCTCCACCCCTACTGCTTGCACTGCTTCAACAGTCGTCGCCATGGCTACCCCTAGTGTCCTAGCTTTTGACGCTGAGGGTCGCGCATTGATTTTGAGGTCTGGCTAGACGACCTGCAGCTGTTCTTACAGTGCGACAGAGCTGACGGACCTTTCTCCTCTTTGACCTCAACCTCTGGTGCTTCTCCTGCTCCTGCTACTGATTGCTGATCCCGCTGTCCGCTCTAAGTGGGCCACCACGCGTGGCTGCTGCACGTCTGCTGTGCGTCGCCACCTCCCTACCTCTGAGCGGTGCGCACTTCAGTCAGTACAAGAGTGCTCAGACCTTGTACGACGCTTTTTGTAGTGCGCGCTACTCCTCCCCTGCCACTGCTGCACTGAGCCGTCTCATGCTTCCCTACCTCTTTCCTGACCTCTCTGCCTTTCCCACTGTCGCTGACCTCATTACGCACCTCCGCACTAGTGGACACTCGCTACCGCGCCGCCTTCCTTCCTGCTGAGTTCTGCGCTAAGAACCCCCCCCCCCATGTACCATCGCTCTCTACTACGTAGTCGCTCGCGCCTCCCTGACTCCCTTCGAGTCGTCAGGGGACCACTTTCTCGCAGTCCTGCCCCACCACGCTCACCGTCGACCTCCTCGGAGAAGGCCCTCCTCGAAGCGGAGAAGAGCATAGTCGCTGTAGGTGCTTCTCGTGGTGACCCTCGCACCCCCATCTTATGGGGGTGCTCTCCTTCCCCCCTTGCTGCCCTCTGTTGCCTCTGCTTGCTTGCTGGCCGACCCCTGCTTGGTCTTGAGTCGGTCGGCGCGGCGTCTGCCCCTAGTGGGAGACGTCGCTCCAGCAAGGGCCAGGGGGGCAAGGGCGCGGGTGGAGCTGGACGGGGGCGGTGGCGGTGGGGCGGCGGTGGCGGCGGAGGGGAGTGGGGGTGGCGGCGGGACTAGTGGCGGGGGTGGGTGGTGGTGTGGCAGCAGCGGCGGAGGACAGTAGTGGTGGTAGCCAAGCGGTGGTGGTGGAGGCAGCGGCGGAGGTGGAGTGCGGCAGGAGGTGGAGGCGGTGGAGGCGGCGGCGGAGGAGGCAGTGGTGGTGGAGGGGGGTGGAGCTGGTCGGGGTGGTACCCAGCAGCGTAGCGGCGGTGGTGGTGGGCCAGCGCTCGCAGGCCAGCGCAGCAGCAGCAGCGCTCTCGGGACATCCCTTCGCCTCAGCAGCTTCGTGAGTGGTACGCTGGGCGCAGAGGGGTGGGGGTACTGGTCCCTGCACCTACGTTCTTCGTTCCGGCGACCGCAGGCGGTGAGCAGTTGTGGGGGTGCCCACGCCACCGCAGCGCTGCTTTGGCCGCCTGAACGGACGCCTGGCGTCAGCAGTTCCCTAGGGCTAGTGAGATCCCTCGCTGGGATGAGCTTCTCAGGGCTGGTGTAGCGATCTTTGATCTTGATTTTGATGCTATCCTTACTGCTATGTATGCTGTGGATTATAGTGAGGAGAATGAGGGTTACCGTTGTTTCCAGCCCGACCCGGGCATTGGTACTGCTGCGCTAGGTGCTTGTGAGGCTGCTGCTCTAGGTGCCAGTGCGTCTGCGCTCTCAGGTCCTGGTGAGACTGCGCTCTCAGGTACTGCGTCGTCCTCGTCCTCCCTCACTTTCACACTTGACTCCGGAGCTTCTCGCTCCTTCTTTCGAGACCGCACTACCCTTTTCGCCGCTCGCCAGGCCGGTTGCGGTCTCCCTTGCTGACCCCTCTGGGGGTCCTGTCCTGTCTCACTTCTCCACTGTCCTCCCGTGTCCGGCTGCCCCTTCGGGCACCCTGTCGGGTCTGTACCTTCCCTCGTTCTCTACGAACTTGGTGAGTGGAGCGGACCTGCAGGATGGGGGTGTTCACCAGTTCACTCCTGCGCGTCAGCGGGTGACCCACTGCACGGAGGCTCGCACAGGCCGACACCTGGCCACGTTCTCGCGTCGGCCGGGGTTCGAGTCTCTACAACCCTGACCGTTGAGTCTCCTCCTGTCCCTGCGTCTGGTCAGGTGGCTGCGTCAGGTCAGGTACTTGCTGCTGCTTCCCCGGTCAGGTCCCTGAGTCTGCCCCCTGTTCTTGTCGCCTCCTGTCTCACGAGACTCTCCTGTGGCACCACCGTCTTGGCCACCCCTCCTTGCCCCGTCTTCGGAGCATGGCTTCCCGTGTCCTTGTCTCTGGTCTTCCCCAGTCTCTCCCTCCTCTCCCCTCCGGGCCAGGACCTTCCTGTGTCCCCTGTGTCGAGGGTCGCCTCCGGGCTACTCCTCACTCCTCCCACTTCCTCCCCCCGACGGAGGCTCACCCTGCAGACGCTTCACATGGATGTGTGGGGCCCAGCCCCCGTCCGTGGGCAGGGTTACGAGCGCTACTTCCTGCTGGTGGTTGACGACTACTCGCGTTACACCACAGTCCTCCCCTTGCGCAGCAAGGGTGCGGTCACTGAGGTGCTGATCGAACTGGATCCGCTAGGCTCGTCTCCAGCTCAGGAGGAGCTTCGGCTCAGACTTTCCTGTTCTGCGTCGCAACTCGGACAAGAGGCGGAGAGTTCTCTTCTCGCCTTCTGCGAGACTACTGTCGTGCACGGGGGATCCGCCAGACCTTCACGCTTCCGGACTCACCACAGCAAAATGGGATTGCTGAGCGCCGCATTGGCATGGTCATGGATGTCGCTCGTAACGTCCATGATGCATGCGGCTGCCCCCCATTTTCTGTGGCCGTTTGCAGTGAGGTACGCGGCGCATCAGCTCAACCTTCACCCCCCGGGTCTCTCGCGCCTGCGATGTCCCCAGCCTTGCTGTCGACGGGGAAGGTTGGCGATGCGTCTGTGTTCCGTGTCTGGGGATCTCGGGCGTTTGTCCGCGACTTGTCTGCGGACAAGCTGTCCCCTCGTGCTGCTCCCTGTGTCTTCCTTGGCTTCCCCACTGACGCCCCAGGGTGGCAGTTTTACCACCCCTCCTCTCGTCGTGTTCTGTCCTCCCAGGACGTCACGTTCGACGAGTCAGTCCCCTTCTACCGTCTCTTCCCCTACCGCACTCCTTCCCTCCCCCCCTCCCCCGGACTTCCTTGTGCCGGTTCCCCCCCCGGTAGACCCCCTTCCCCCTCAGGTTCCTGCCCCCTCAGGTGTGTCCCAGGTAGACGCCGTTGACCCGGTCGAGGTTACTGGTGACTCTGGTGCTGCTGCGGGTGCTGAGCCTGGGGGTGCTGACTCTGGGGGTGCTGTGCGCGGGGGGTGCTGAGCCTGGGGGTGCTACTGCTGGGGGTGCTGGGCCTGAGGGTGCTACTGCGGAGGGTGCGGAGCCTGGGGGTGCTGAGCCGGGGGGTGCTGTGCCTGGGGGTGCGGGGTCTGGGGGTGCTGGGTCGGGAGCTACTGAGACTGGAGGTGCTGAGTTGGGAGTTGCTGAGCCTGGGGGTGCTGCGTCTGGAGCTGCTGAGCCTGGGGTTTCTCCTGCTGCTGCGTCTCGCCCGGGAGCCCCCTCTCTCCACAGGAGCTGCGCGAGTGGTGTCGCTCGCCGCTGGAGGCGTGCTGCTGAGTCTGGAGGTGCTGCTGGAGCTGGAGCTGGAGCTTCTTCGACCGTCGTGGAGTGCGGGTGCTGCCGGTCCCGGAGCTGCTGGACCTGCGGGTCCTCCTGGAGCTGGAGCTGCTGAGGGCGCTGGTGCTGAGCCTACTGCTGTTGGTCCTGCCACTGGAGGTGTGGGTGGCGCTGGTGCTGTCGCTGAGGGTGCTGGTGCAGACCCTGCTGCGTCTGGAGCTGCCGCGCGGCCTCGGCCGTACTTCGTTCCGCTCTTGCAGCAGGTTCTTGGTCTTTCTCCTCCGGTAGAGGGTCCACCGCCTGTCCAGTCGCAGTCCCTGCTGGAGCCTTCCTCTCCTCTGCCTGCTCCCTCTCTTTACACTGGTCCTACTGGAGGTCTTGCTGAGCGTCGTGAGCCTGCGTCTCGTCCCGCGTCGCCTGTTCGTGCTGCTCGCGCTAGTGGTCGCAGTTCGCGTCAGCGTCCTCCTCCTGTCCCTGGCACGCACCGGATGTCTTTGCGTCCGTCCACTGCTCCTCTGCGTGCCCCTTGGCCTTCTCCTCCTGAGTCCTCTCTTCCTGCGCTTGCCGACCCTGAGTCGGACTCTCTTCGTGCTGCCAGTCCTACTGTCACGCGTCTGCTTGCTACTGTCGTCACTGACCCCTCTTTTGAGTCCACTGCTGCGTCTGCTCTAGTCGCTGAGCTCGTCGACTTTGCTGCTCGCTGTCGTCTCGACTACACTGCTAGTCTTGTTGCTGAGTCTGCGTCTGTCTGTCCTCCGTCCGTCGGGGGTGAGTGTGCTCTTAGCACGGACGTCCTAGAGGACAGGCAGGAGGAGTTACAGTGTCTAGCGGCTGCTTCACCTCATCTCGCGTCTGTACTGCTTGCCCCTGAGGGAGACTCGGATGCACTAGACATCCCGACTCCGCGTTCTTACGCGGAGGCCGTAGAGGGTCCCTACTCCTCTCAGTGGCAGGCAGCTATGGATGCAGAGATGGCTTCCTGGAAGTCCACAGGCACCTACGTTGACGCGGTTCCCCCTCCTGGGGCGAACATCGTCAGTGGCATGTGGATCTTCAGGGTGAAGCGGCCGCCGGGCTCTCCACCTGTCTTCAAGGCACGGTACGTTGCTCGTGGCTTCAGTCAGCGGCAGGGAGTTGACTACTTTCAGACCTTCTCTCCCACCCCGAAGATGACTACTCTTCGGGTGCTGCTGCACATAGCCGCTCAGCGCGGACTACGAGCTTCACTCTCTCGACTTCAGCACTGCGTTCTTGCAGGGTAGCCTGCACGAGGAGATCTGGCTTCGCCGTCCACCTGGCTTCACTGGGACTTTCCCTCCTGGCACCCAGTGGAGCCTTCGACGGCCAGTCTACGGTCTCCGCCAGGCACCGCTGTGAGTGGCACGACACACTGAGGACTACGCTTGCGGCTCTTGGTTTGCTCCTTCTACTGCTGACCCGTCGCTGTTTCTTCGCACCGACACTTCCCTGCCGCCGTTCTACATCCTCGTGTACGTCGACGACTTGGTCTTTGCCACAGCAGACACTGCTGGACTCGCCTACGTGAAGTCCGAGCTGCTGAAGAGACACACGTGCACAGACCTGGGTGAACTGCGCAGCTACCTTGGCTTGCAGATCACTCGGGACAGAGCACGCCGCACCATTACCTTGACTCAGTCACACATGGTGCAGCAGGTCCTTCAGCGCTTCGGCTTCACGTACTCCTCGCCTCAGGCCACTCCTCTGCCTACTCGCCACTCACTCTCAGCTCTGCCTTCGGATGAGTCCGTAGAGTCGAGTGGTCCGTATGCAGAGCTTGTTGGCTGCCTCATGTACCTGATGACCTGCACACGACCTGACCTTGCATACCCTCTGAGCATTCTTGCACGCTATGTTGCTCCTGGGAGACACAGACCGGAGCACATGGCTGCAGCGAAGAGGGTATTGCGCTACCTGTGCAGTACGTCGGGCATGGGGCTAGTGCTTGGAGGGCGGAGTCCAGTGGTCCTTACCGGCCACGCGGACGCTTCTTGGGCTGACGACAAGGCTACGCAGCGGTCGTCACAGGGTTACACCTTCAGCCTTGGTTCCGGTTCTGTCTCGTGGCGGTCTACTCGCTCGTCTTCGGTTCTCGGCTCCAGTTGTGAGGCTGAGATCTATGCCGGGGCCATGGCTGCACAGGAGCTTCGCTGGCTCACCTACCTGCTGACTGACCTTGGAGAGTTGCCTCGTTCTCCTCCGGTGCTGTACGTAGACAACAAGGCTATGCTGGCCCTTGTGTCGAGAGCAGCGCTTGGAGCACAGAACGAAGCACATTGCTCTCCGCTACTTCCTTGCTCGTGAGCTGCAGCAGCGTGGTCAGTTGCGACTTGCGTACGTGGCCTCTGAGGCCAACACTGCTGATGTGTTCACCAAGGCACTCGCGCCTTGTGACCATCAGCGCTTTTGCACCCAGCTGGGTCTTGTGCCTGTCTTGCCTCACTTGCTCTCCTCTTGACTTCACTTGTACTGTGACATATATATATGCCTGCTCTTGTTTGTCTAGTTTTATATATATGTCTGTACTCCTGCATGTGAACTGGCCTCTGGCCCTACTCTTGTGCTCGGACTGTGTGGTGACTTTGTGATCCACCCTGAGCTTGCTTTGCTTTGCTTGACTGGTCTTGTGACCCCTTGTTCTCCCCCACTTTGCCTATGGGGGTGTGTCAGATTTATATGACATAGTTGCTGTAGGCTATAGTGGGGTAGCACATATAGGGTACAGGGTTTCTAGGGTTGTATTTGTACCCAATCTTTCCTTAGTCATTTCATTCCTGCTTACTCATTTCACAGGGCCTAGGCGAGGCCGCGATGGGGCCGTAAGGGGCCTAAGTGGGGCCGCGACGGGGCCGTAAGGGGCCTAAGCGGGGCCGCGACAAGGCTGTAAGGGGCCTAAGCGGGGCTGCGACGGGGTCGTAAGGGGCCTAAGCGGGGCCGCGACGGGGCTGTAAGGGGCCTAAGCGGGGCCGCGATGGGGTCGTAAGGGGCCAGACGGGGCCGTAAGGGGCGTAGAAGGCGGCGCGAGAGGCCGTAAGGGCGGCCAGCGGGGGCCACTAAGGGCGGCTCGAGGCGCTAATCGGGTAGGAGCAAAGCGCGCTACGGGCAGGGAAGAAAAATTCGTGGTGGGCCCTAGGCAGTATTCCCACTCGGGAACCTGCTCGATACCATGACGAGAAGTAAGAATGGATGAACTATGAAACAGTTGGGTACAAGTACTAACCCTAATTGGGTTGTACCCCTTATGGGCTACCCCACTACAGCCTACACAAATCTAAAAGCTATAATTTTCTGACAGTACCTTCGCGCACAGCCACACCTCAACCCACGACAGATTCACTAGCTCGACTTCCTCGAGTCCAACTTTCACTACACGGTCACTTACAAAAAGGGAGCCTCAAACATCCCCGACGCACTGCCCAGATCCATGCAACACTACTCGCACAGACAAGCCCGCTACTGACAGGCCTATTCACCCACGGGTACCAAACGGATCCATTCATCACAGGAGGAAATTCGCAGCAGTTCGCAGCAGCAAAGGGAGTCTATTACGTAAAAACCGGGACTAACCGCATCTGGGTGCCTGGGTATACACTGCTTCGGGAATTACTATTACAGGAGGCACACGACGGAGTTACCTCGGGGCATTTCAGAGTAGAAAAAACACGGCAGCAGCTGCAGCGGTATTATTACAGGCCCGAAATGTTGTCCGACATACAACAACACGTGTCATCGTGTCCCACTTGTCAGCCCATGAAATCATCACGACAGCGGCCGGCGGGACAGTTGCGGCCAATACCACCCCCAGAGCGTGCTTGGCAGCAGGTGACGATGGACTTCGTCACGGGGTTACCAGCCGGGGCGAGTGGGAACGACGCGATCCTGGTCGTCGTCGATCGACTGACGAAAATGGCACATTTCGTAGCCTGCAACAAATCAATCATAGCCGAAGAAAAAGCACGCCTCTTCATCTCCACCGTCGTTCGACTGCACGGGATACCAGCCGCGGTCATCAGCGGCCGCGATACGAAATTCACCAGCAACTTCTGGCGGAACCTGTGGCAGCAGTTCGGCACGCGACTACATTTCAGTTCATCATACCACCCCGACACCGACGGACAGACAGAACGGACAAATCAGACCATGGAACAGCTCATCAGGGCCACGTGTGACGACCCGACCACGTGGGAACAGCAACTGCCACTAACCAAATTCGCGTACAACAACTCGCCATCCGCCACGACCCAACAGTCACCATTTTACCTAAACTACAGACAAGACCCGACAGTACCCATGACCCCGAATCTCGACAACCCAGTACCACGAGCACAACAGTTCGCCGAAATATTACAAGCAGCACGGACCCGGGCAGTAGACGCAATAAAAAAAATCGAACATCATTGCTAAACGCAACGCCGACCGTCACCGCAGACCTGTCACTTACCAGCCCGACGACTTAGTTTTACTTGACACTCAGAACCTCCGACTGCCCATCACCCCGAAATTCCGCCCCCGATACTGCGGGCCATTTCGCATAAGCCACATGCTTACACCCGTCACCGCACACTTCCTCCTCCCTGCTGACTGGTACGTCAGCCCCTCATTCCACGTCAGCCTACTTCGCCCTTACGTCCCGTCCAGAAGCCAACTGGCACGCAATCGCCCAGCCAGCATGACAAGACCACCAACTGAACCAATCATCACCCCCGAGAAAATCATGAGTCTTAGGGTTCGCGACCCTCGAGGAGCCCGTAGGATCGAGTTCTTACTCTCCTGGAAAGACCGTACACCCACTGAAGACAATTGGGTTCCCCTGGATAGAATCGAAAACCACCCCGTCCTCACCGAGTATCTGCGCAACCGAAATTTCAGGGATGTACACGCACTTTCGTAAGGAGGACCTCCTTAGGAGGGGGGGTAGTGTAAAGAAAATTCGTTTTCCTTACTTCGCATCTCTGCTCAGCGCGTACATCACTGTAGCACCACAGTCAGCATCGTTACCACTCGCAACCCTCACATCGACAGTCCGCCCGCCACCTTCGCACATCGCACCCCGTCCTCACGGCTCGGCCAGTAACCCGCGCTCCGCAGGGCTGACGATATCAGGGTGATTACCCTGATTTCAGGGTGATTACAGGCTTCTCACTTGGTGGACCCTGCAATTTCAGAATTTCTGACTTGTGAACACTGATCCATTCAGAATAGTGCTTTAGCGAACCCTGAAATATTGTATCTAGGCTCAGAGTAGTGTTCTTACTGACTCTGTCAATGTAGAGTACGCGTTCTGTGGACTCTGAATTTGACCTTATCGGAAGGAAGTTTCTCGGAAATGTCCTTCCGATAACCTCGCCTTCGGATTGGTCGTAGTACAGCAACAGCGTAAGCATCGCGCGGCAACATGTCTGACAGGTGAATACACTCTACGTACGTTAGTGTTACAAAAGTCGAAAATGTCGGTCGTATTGTCGCAATTACGTGTGCGTGAAGTTATCAACACATTTTTTGCGTTTCGCACAATGAAGTTGGCGAATCGCGAGTAATCAACGAATAGGAAATCTTGGCACATCTTTGGTACCGAACTGCTTGGTGGACCGAAACTGCTCGTTTCTTCCCCGCGCTAAAACGTATGGAGAAATACTAATTTGATCAAAGTAACGGATCAGAAAGTAAAGCGCACGAGGTGTGCACGAAATGATGTCGCGTTGTGATGGAATCCTGCGGGGTGAAACTTTTGTCCCCGTTAAATACAGTGCGCGTTACTACATTGATGTTCAGTTCTCGACCCTGAGCAATCAGAGTTAACTACTTTTCGACACTGAGCAATCAGAGTAGCCTACCTGCGGAAAATATACACCCATAATACAGGCGGGGAATTTTCCTGGGAATCAGGGAGGCTTAGGGCATGTTCCTACGGCCCCTTATCAGGCGACCTCTGGTCAGACTTGTGCGGTTCAATGCGTTTCAGTGCGATCGAATGTCATTACGTGTGTTTGAGTGCGATGCTACGCGAATTTGACAAGAGCTTCGCCTGATAAGAGGCTGTAGGAACATGCCCTTAAAATGAAACGTCAGCTCTGGCGCTCCGGGCCTACGCTTCGACATTTTTTCCCAACCACAGTCCCAGGCCCATCGCGCGACAACCACAGTCCATTACCGTTACCACTGTAGTTTCGCTATATATTCTTCGCTCATGCCTTCGCTCATTGTACTCTTGCTTAGATAGTGCAATTCTCGTTCATTCACTCAATCTCACTCGTAACAGATAGCAAGACAGGATGTTTGTACATGGTTGCTTTCAGTGGAGGATGACGGTGACGACCCAGCTTGTCGTCTGTATCATAATGGATAAAGTCGCACTGACGGTAGATGGACGCTTGGACGCCTAGTGACAAGCCAGCTGAGTCAGGTTTGTCGGCGACAGCATCATACCGTGGTGGTGGCGATTCGGGTTTTGGTCATTCTGCAATCTACCAAACCATCACGGTCTGTCAACACACGTTTCTGAACCGAAGTCGAACGAACTCCTTATGCCAACGTGGATGTGTATATTGTGTAACTCACGTTCGCGAGGGTCCTCGCGGTCCACTGCAGGAAGGCACGCCATTTGACTGCTGCTGGTGACGGCTAGCAGTGTGACTTGACACGTTCACCTTCGTGGTGTTGGGGTGACAGTCCCACCGACTTCTTAATTCCAGCCCAGAGACCTTCGGTTCCGTACCAACTTTCTGAGCCAAAGGATACAGACCAAGGCGCTTGATATGAGGGGAACAAAGCTTCGCAGGACTAGTTTGGGACCGCGAAAGCGTACTTCACCAGAATTTGGGATGCAACGAGACGTAAGATCTCGAATGACCGTCCATCGAACCGTCGAATCTAGGTTTACTGAAGACAGGTTCGGCTCTTCGGCCAATCACCCAGCCATCATGGTTCCAAACCAGCCTCATCACGCCTCGCCTCGAAATGCCCGTTTCTTCCTCTTCCTGTGACATTGCCGTGCGCGGGTGTGTCAAGTCCGCTCCCCACAACCTCCTCAAGAGGGGTGTGTATTCCACGTTCCCCCTCCTGGCCTCAGATGGGGGAAAATATTCCTTTACTACATTTCCGCCGTCGGTGGGATTTTCCAGCGCGCCACATACGCGCATTGCACAAACGACTTCAACGGGGGAACGGTGCGCGGCCAACATGGGTTCCCCGCACCTCGTTTCGCTAGCTACCCTCCATCTCTTCTCGACATTCCGTCAGCTCAGCACCTCCGCGTCCTCCCCTCGACTCCTATGTCCCGCTGCTGCTGGACGGGGGCTGTGGACAATCCCAAGGTCCGTTCCTCGGCTGAAGCGAGCATGGTCAACAATCAACTGACAAACCAGTACCTCGGCTGATTGATAATCCGCTACCAAATCCTCTTTGCCACATTGTTTGCCCCGGCGAGTTGGTTCGAAGCAACGCACAGCATTCAGCGCGTGGTGTCTCAGTCGCACCATTTATCCATACTGCTTCAACCTGACTACATCCGTCCGTGCATCCCGCTCCCGTTACCTCTCCAAAGAAAATGCTGCTGGCCCGACTCTAGACCTTACCTAATTACGTCGTCCAGCGCGTGACCCGCAATTCTCTGTGATCTCTGCGAAAAGGGTTACTGGTTTTCGTCACGGCGTCGTTGACAATGCCCTCTGGTTTTTCCCGTCACCTTCATCCTCGAATAGTAACTTCCCCGTCAAGATCGTGCCAGGCAGCCATCTTACTGCTACTGCTCTTAATAGGAGCTTCAGCTACAGTCGCTGAAGGGTCGTCGATAATCGACCAAGTCGTCGCGTTTTTTCAGCGCCTACTCCCCTCGAACCAGGCAAACGCACAGGACGCAGCCATACCTCCCGTACAGTCACCTATACAGTCACCTCCTATACAGTCACCTCCTCCACAGTCACCTCCGGTACAGTCACCTCCCGTACAATCACCCCCTGTACAGTCACCTACCCCTGCCCCTTCACCTGAGCCCGAACCATGGAACTTCACGCGATACCCCATTGCGTGGCACGACACTTCGTTAGTGAATACGTCTGCAACGGCGGCAGGACCGAAGGCCAGACCGCCAGCTCCGACGCTCGAGCCGGCATGGGAGCGGTTCGGAGTGTGCTCGGGCGGTAAGGGACCGTTCCACGTGACGATCACTCCACGGCAGATCGGGACCAAGTGGAAGGGATGGGGCACATCGCTCGCATGGTGAGTTGATTGTACTAAGAATACGTGGTTCTATCGAATCGCCCGAGCGTATCTGACTCCCGGCCACACGCTTCTTTTGAATTTCTCCTCTCTCACCGCACCCCGCCTTCTCCCCATCTCCCCCTTGCCCCACATCCCGCTTCCCCCCACCTCCCCATTCCCCCCACTTTCCCCTCCGCTCCTTCCGCCCCCCAGGCTGGGCAACTACATCGGCGGGTTCCCCCAGGTGGCGATGGACCCTCTGCTGGACCTCATGTTCCTCCCCTCGGGCCTCAACCTCAATATAGTGCGATTCAATATAGGCGGCGGCTCGCTCCCGCAGTACAGCCCGCAGCTTCACTCGGACGCGCTGCTGCGCTGGCGGGCCATGCCGGGGTACTGGCCGGCGCAGGCAGCGGGGTTCAACTGGACGGCGGATTCGAGGCAGCAGGCGGTGCTGCTGGGAGCCAAGGCCCGCGGGGTGAACGTGTTCGAGGCGTTTTCCAACAGCCCGCCCTGGTGGATGACCGCGAGTAAAGACGTTGCGGGCGGGAAGAAGGCGTTTCAGACGAACCTGCTGCCGAAATTCGAGGGACGGTTTGCTAAGTATTTGGTGGAGGTGGTGGAAAGGTTTAAAACGGATCCGGCTTTAGGGAATATCGAGTTTGATACACTGGAGCCGTTTAACGAGGCGTTAGAGGGGCACTGGCTAAAGGGGATGGGTCAGGAGGGGTGTAATTTCAACGTGGTCGAGATGACCCGTATCATTTTCAAAACTCTGCGACTGCTTCGGGAGAAGAAACTCAAGACGAAACTCGCCGGTGTGGACAGCTTTCCGGGCATGACAGCTCTGTGGTTCCCACTGCTCGTGGGGAAGATTTTTTTACAAAGGGTAAACGTTCATGGTTACACGCTGCCGATACAGCAGGTGGTAAACATGACTGCTTCTGTCGCCGAGAAAACCTACGCCGCTCGTTACGTCGCGATGAAGGTGCTCGCAAAATCGCTGGGGAAGGAGATCTGGGTGTCGGAATCTGGGCCGTTGAACAAATTCGGCAACGCGTACGATCTCTCGCTCTACATGATGAGGAACGTGATTGAGATGGTGAACATTCTCGGGATCTCCGCATATGTCTACTGGCAGATTTTCGACCCCAACGACACATGGTCACTGATCGGTCTGAATTGGTATTATCCGCCAGGATATACAGGCACAGTAGACCCTCCCACCATGCTTAAAAGGTACTGGATGTTTAAGCAGTTTACGGATCTGGTAAGGCCAGGGAGCCGGCCGTTAATGGTGCCGATAGCGTGTCGGCACACGGTAGCTGCGTTCTACAGTAAGGAGAAGCGGACGGTGAGTGTGTTTATAGTGAATCAGCGGGTGAGGGATAAGGTGGTGAACGTGAGGTTATCTAGGTACAAGCTGAATGTGGGGGGGGCGACTCAGGCTCTCATCAGGAGAACCACATATGCAGAGGACAATGCAGAAAGCACTGTGGCTATACAGGGTAAGCCAAAGGTGCCAGTTCTGGTTAAGGGCCAGACCTTCGTTTCAGTCACATTCACTAATGTACAGAGAACAAGATGGATGTTTTGACTTGTTTGTATCACTATTATATTGCATGTAGCACAGCCTTTCAACCACCAGCACTCCAACCACACATGACCTTCATTTCTCCTCGCTTCTACAAGCAAACCATAAGAGCTGTTTTTCTCACAACCTCCCTCCCTTCCTACCCATCTCACTTAACACTGCATCGGTGTGCGTACCATCACAGGTACAATACAATCCCATCCATGCTGGTTTCAGAATCTATTATTCCCAAACGGTGTTGGCATAAACTGCTGTAGAATCACAAACAGCCACTTCTCGTCTCATATTCTAACAGCACCATCAGAAACGCTGAGCCCATGTTCACATCACACTATGACAACGATCATGCGGTTTCCGCACGTCACCCTGCTGACCTATACTGCCCAGTGTCATCCTTGCCATCCGTGCTATTGAAACAGGGGCATCATCAGAGGAAATGAGTATGGATAACAAAGGCTTGCTGAGTGGAATCGGTGCATTGGCATCAGTCCATTGGCACGAGTGCAATGGTATCGGTCCATTGTCATCAGTGGCATGACCAGTTACCAGTAGATGTTGACCTCCTTGCCGTCATTCATCTCACTCACCAGGTCCTTGGCCTCGCTCAAAGCAACCTGGGAGGGATTTGATACACGCACAGAGGGAAACCGGAGGAAAGAGGGAATGAACCACTGGTAAGTATCTGTCATCTCACTCACCAGGTCCTTGGCCTCGCTCAGAGCAACCTGGGGGAGAGGCACAGAGGGAATGGGAAGAGGAAGTGAGTGGGTGGATAGCAGCAGCCCTGCAAGTGCCATCACCATAAGATGTTAACCTTCCGTCATTCATCCCACGCACCAGGTTCCCCCAATGGATGGACGGGCAGGGCAGTTGCCAGATCAGAGGAATAATAATGATAACATAAATAATAATGGAAACAACAACAATAATAATAATGATCACAATAAACGTAACGATAATATGCATAATGGTAATCATTATAAGATTCCTAAAGAAAAAAATGGTTGAAAGACTTCACCTGGCCGTATTTGGTGATGTAGTTGCTGGAGAGGTTAAGTGTCTCGACTGCCGCCTCCCCATTCGCTTTGAGCGCCTCTGCCAGGGCGTATGCCCCACGGTCGCGGATCTCATTAAAGCCCAGGTCCAACGAGGAGAGCTGCTCGTTGACCACGCGCAGACTTAAAGCCAGGATGGCCGCTCCCTGTTGGAAGACAGGGGGGGGGGGGGGGAAAGAAAGCTCAAGGTTGAGAGCCCGCGGTCGCGGATCTCGTTAAAGCCCAGGTCCAGCGAGGAGAGCTGCTCGTTCACCACGCGGAGACTCGGAGCCAGAATGGCCGCGGCCTGATGAAAGGGAGGAGGGGGGAAGGCAGATGAGCATCGAGAGCATTTCCAATGGCAGCGCCACGCCTTAAGGAGTGCATGCAAGGGGGACAGGGAAGGCCAGGTCCAATGAGGAGAGCTGCTCGTTCACCAACCGCAGACTCAGGGCCAGAATGGCCGCGGCCTGATGGGACGGAAAGGGAAGGAGAGGGGGTAATTGTTCAGGAAAGAAACGGGCCCATCGGTGTTTAGAATGAGCTGCTTGTTGACCACACGCAGACTCAGAGCCAGAATGGCCGCGCCCTGATGGGAAAGAAAGGGCAAAGGATGGAGAAGCATAGAGAGACATGAGGTGCAAGGGAGCAGGGGGGGAGAATGCGAGTGCAATTGCCTGATCACTATCCCCCGTGGTTGATGCATGGATTGGCAACAGAGCAGCTCACCTCATCACCCAGAGCGTTGGCACTGAGGTCAAGAGTGTTGATGGTGCTGTTGTGTGTGAGTGTGAAGACCAAACAGACCAACAACCCCCCGGTTGGTGTGTGTGTGGATTGACATCAGGCTAAGAGCGCACCTCCCCTCACCTCACCTTAACTCACCTCACCTCCCAGCGCGTTGGCCCTCAGGTCAAGAGTGTTGATGGTGCTGTTGCGTTTGAGTGTGAATACCTACAGCTCACCTCTCACTCAAAGATACTATTGAGTGAGATGCAGCTCACCTCGTCCCCCAGCGCGTTGGCCCTCAGGTCAAGCGTGTTGATGGTGCTGTTGTACTTTATCAACAGTGCACCTGCCTGCTCATACCCCCCTCCTAGTTGCTGCACGAACTGCCATCATCCCTCCGAGCTCACCTCATCACCCAGCGCGTTGGCCCTCAGGTCAAGAGTGTTGATGGTGCTGTTGTACTTGAGAGCATCTGCCATGTACTCTGCTCCCTTCACTCCGATCTGGACAGATGGGAGGAGGGCGGATGAGAGCGTGGGAGCAGATGGGTAAGAGTAGGGGGGTGATGGTGCTGTTGTATTTAAGCGCATCGGCCATGTACTCTGCTCCCTTCACTCCGATCTGAGGGGGATGGGAGAAGTAAAGGGGGGGAGTGGGGGGTTTGGGAGAGAGGAGGTTGGAATGGAAAGAGGAAAGGGGGATGGGTGTGGACTGAGCATTAGTACACCTAGACTTGAGAGCACACACCAAGTCTAGTTTTGAGGCGCCTCAAGATTGAGCATCAATACACCTAGACTTGAGAGCACACACCAAGCATACTTCCCAATCTTTCCCCCCTGGCATCATGCCCCCATGAATCACCCTCACCTTGCACCACCCTCACCTTGCACCACCCCAGTCGTAACGTCTCCACGTTCCCATGTAACTTCACCGTGTCTGCCAGTCAGTGACTCAACCAGGGTGCACAAACTAAGCAGTACCTGCCCATAAACACCATAATCCCATCCCTCCACTCACCTTGCACCACCCCAGTCGCAGCGTCTCCACGTTCCCATGGAACTTCACCGTGTGTGCCAGTGCCTTGACTAAGGTGCACAGCCACAGCAATAACTAGCAGCACCCCTGCACCACCAATAACCGCTCTCTATCCCTCAACCTCACCTTGCACCACCCCAGTCGCAGCGTCTCCACGTTCCCATGAAACTTGACCGTGTGTGCCAGTGCCTTGACTAAGGTGCACAGCCACAGCAATAACTAGCAGCACCCCTGCACCACCAATAACCGCTCTCCATCCCTCAACCTCACCTTGCACCACCCCAGTCGCAGCGTCTCCACGTTCCCATGGAACTTCACCATGTGTGCCAGTGCCTTGACTAAGGTGCACAGCCACAGCAATAACTAGCAGCACCCCTGCACCACCAATAACCGCTCTCCATCCCTCAACCTCACCTTGCACCACCCCAGTCGCAGCGTCTCCACGTTCCCATGGAACTTCACCGTGTGTGCCAGTGCCTTGACTAAGGTGCACAGCCACAGCAATAACTAGCAGCACCCCTGCACCACCAATAACCGCTCTCCATCCCTCAACCTCACCTTGCACCACCCCAGTCGCAGCGTCTCCACGTTCCCATGGAACTTCACCGTGTGTGCCAGTGCCTTGACTAAGGTGCACAGCCACAGCAATAACTAGCAGCACCCCTGCACCACCAATAACCGCTCTCCATCCCTCAACCTCACCTTGCACCACCCCAGTCGCAGCGTCTCCACGTTCCCATGGAACTTCACCGTGTGTGCCAGTGCCTTGACTAAGGTGCACAGCCACAGCAATAACTAGCAGCACCCCTGCACCACCAATAACCGCTCTCCATCCCTCAACCTCACCTTGCACCACCCCAGTCGCAGCGTCTCCACGTTCCCATGGAACTTCACCGTGTGTGCCAGTGCCTTGACTAAGGTGCACAGCCACAGCAATAACTAGCAGCACCCCTGCACCACCAATAACCGCTCTCCATCCCTCAACCTCACCTTGCACCACCCCAGTCGCAGCGTCTCCACGTTCCCATGGAACTTGACCGTGTCTGCCAGTGCTTTGGCGCCCTCTGGACCAATGGGGTTGTACCCCAACTCAAGCTGTGGCAGAACGGGAGCAAGGGACAGGACAGATAAGGCAATGGATTCTTGACGAATTTTTTCAACATTTAAGCTGGGGAGGAGTGAGAAACGGAGTGACAGCACAAGTAAGGTCAGACTTACTTAATCAACGAATTATTCATCCCCTAGAGCAAATCAGTGACTCTTCCATCCCCCTTTTTATCTGAAGTGGTTTTTTACTCACAGTGGTGACGGTGGAGTTCTCTTTGAGTGCGTCAAAGATGGCAGCAAAGCAATGCTTCTCTAGTCAATCCAGAAGTCTTCTTTTCTGAAGTGGTTGTTCACTCACAGTGGTGATGGTGGAGTTCTCCTTGAGTGCGTCACAGATGGCCGCGACTGCCGTTCAAGTGGACTCAAAGCCACGCCCATTCAAGTGGACTCAAAGCCACGCCCATTCAAGTGGACTCAAAGCCACGCCCATTCAAGTGGACTCAAAGCCACGCCCATTCAAGTGGACTCAAAGCCACGCCCATCCAAGTGGACTCAAAGCCACGCCCATCCAAGTGGACTCAAAGCCACACCCATCCAAGTGGACTCAAAGCCACGCCCGTCCAAGTGGACTCAAAGCCACGCCCATCCAAGTGGACTCAAAGCCACGCCCATCCAAGTGGACTCAAAGCCACGCCCATCCAAGTGGACTCAAAGCCACGCCCATCCAAGTGGACTCAAAGCCACGCCCATCCAAGTGGACTCAAAGCCACGCCCGTCCAAGTGGACTCAAAGCCACGCCCATCCAAGTCGACTCAAAGCCACGCCCATCCAAGTGGACTCAAAGCCATGCCCATCCAAGTCGACTCAAAGCCACGCCCATCCAAGTGGACTCAAAGCCACGCCCATCCAAGTGGACTCAAAGCCACGCCCATCCAAGTGGACTCAAAGCCACGCCCATCCAAGTCGACTCAAAGCCACGCCCATCCAAGTGGACTCAAAGCCACGCCCATCCAAGTCGACTCAAAGCCACGCCCATCCAAGTGGACTCAAAGCCACGCCCATCCAAGTCGACTCAAAGCCACGCCCATCCAAGTGGACTCAAAGCCACGCCCATCCAAGTGGACTCAAAGCCACGCCCATCCAAGTGGACTCAAAGCCACGCCCATCCAAGTGGACTCAAAGCCACGCCCATCCAAGTCGACTCAAAGCCACGCCCATCCAAGTGGACTCAAAGCCACGCCCATACCAAGTGGACTCAAAGCCACGCCCATCCAAGTGGACTCAAAGCCACGCCCATCCAAGTGGACTCAAAGCCACGCCCATCCAAGTGGACTCAAAGCCACGCCCATCCAAGTGGACTCAAAGCCACGCCCATCCAAGTCGACTCAAAGCCACGCCCATCCAAGTGGACTCAAAGCCACGCCCATCCAAGTGGACTCAAAGCCACGCCCATCCAAGTCGACTCAAAGCCACGCCCATCCAAGTGGACTCAAAGCCACGCCCATCCAAGTGGACTCAAAGCCACGCCCATCCAAGTGGACTCAAAGCCACGCCCATCCAAGTGGACTCAAAGCCACGCCCATCCAAGTGGACTCAAAGCCACGCCCATCCAAGTGGACTCAAAGCCACGCCCATCCAAGTGGACTCAAAGCCACGCCCATCCAAGTGGACTCAAAGCCACGCCCATCCAAGTGGACTCAAAGCCACGCCCATCCAAGTGGACTCAAAGCCACGCCCATCCAAGTGGACTCAAAGCCACGCCCATCCAAGTGGACTCAAAGCCACGCCCATCCAAGTCGACTCAAAGCCACGCCCATCCAAGTGGACTCAAAGCCACGCCCATCCAAGTGGACTCAAAGCCACGCCCATCCAAGTGGACTCAAAGCCACGCCCATCCAAGTGGACTCAAAGCCACGCCCATCCAAGTGGACTCAAAGCCACGCCCATCCAAGTGGACTCAAAGCCACGCCCATCCAAGTGGACTCAAAGCCACGCCCATCCAAGTGGACTCAAAGCCACGCCCATCCAAGTGGACTCAAATCCACGCCCATCCAAGTCGACTCAAAGCCATGCCCATCCAAGTGGACTCAAAGCCACGCCCATCCAAGTCGACTCAAAGCCACGCCCATCCAAGTGGACTCAAAGCCACGCCCATCCAAGTGGACTCAAAGCCACGCCCATCCAAGTCGACTCAAAGCCACGCCCATCCAAGTGGACTCAAAGCCACGCCCATCCAAGGGACTCAGCCACGCCCATCCAAGTGGACTCAAAGCCACGCCCATCCAAGTGGACTCAAAGCCACGCCCATCCAAGTGGACTCAAAGCCACGCCCATCCAAGTGGACTCAAAGCCACGCCCATCCAAGTGGACTCAAAGCCACGCCCATCCAAGTCGACTCAAAGCCACGCCCATCCAAGTGGACTCAAAGCCACGCCCATCCAAGTGGACTCAAAGCCACGCCCATCCAAGTCGACTCAAAGCCACGCCCATCCAAGTGGACTCAAAGCCACGCCCATCCAAGTGGACTCAAAGCCACGCCCATCCAAGTCGACTCAAAGCCACGCCCATCCAAGTGGACTCAAAGCCACGCCCATCCAAGTGGACTCAAAGCCACGCCCATCCAAGTGGACTCAAAGCCACGCCCATCCAAGTGGACTCAAAGCCACGCCCATCCAAGTGGACTCAAAGCCACGCCCATCCAAGTGGACTCAAAGCCACGCCCATCCAAGTGGACTCAAAGCCACGCCCATCCAAGTGGACTCAAAGCCACGCCCATCCAAGTGGACTCAAATCCACGCCCATCCAAGTCGACTCAAAGCCATGCCCATCCAAGTGGACTCAAAGCCACGCCCATCCAAGTCGACTCAAAGCCACGCCCATCCAAGTGGACTCAAAGCCACGCCCATCCAAGTGGACTCAAAGCCACGCCCATCCAAGTGGACTCAAAGCCACGTTCACAGATCTGAAGTGGTGTTTACTCACAGTGGTGATGGTGGAGTTCTCTTTGAGTGCGTCACAGATGGCCGCAATGCCCTCCGCATGAATGTTGTTGCCTCCCTGGAGTAAGGAGGGAAACGGGAGGGAGCATGGGTGGGCAGGGAGAGGGGGAAAGAGAAGTTGTGGTAGATGACTGAGTGCGTCACAGATGGCCGCAATGCCCTCTGCGTGAATGTTGTTGCCGCCCTGAAGGGAAGGAAGGGAGGTAGGTAGGAAGAGAGGACGGAAGCATTGGCTTCAGTAGCTGCAATAAAAGTGGACCACGCGAACAACATGCGCAGCACACACACATGCATGTACAGTCATTCACTCACTCGCTCACTCACACTCACTCACTCACAATCTCACTCATTCACACACTCAGCTCACTCTCTCACTCACTCACTCACACTCACTCACACTCACTCACACTCACACACTCACACACTCACACACACACTCACACACTCACTCAATCACACTCACCAGGTCAATAGTAGCAATCGACTTGTTCCTCTTGAGAGCATCTGCTATTCTCTCCGCTCCCTGCAACAACGGCAGAAATAAGACAGGAGCCACAATGTATGAAAAATATGCTCCAATTGAACAAGAACCAGGAATAAGTTATCTCAGACGTAGGCCACTCCCAAACGTGTATGAAGATTGGTTTTCAGAGCGGCCTGCGTCTGAGATCAGCATATGAACGCATATGAGAGGCTGATCAGCATATGAACGCATATGAGAGGCTGATCAGCATATGAACGCATATGAGAGGCTGATCAGCATATGAACGCATATGAGAGGCTGATCAGCATATGAACGCATATGAGAGGCTGATCAGCATATGAACGCATATGAGAGGCTGATCAGCATATGAACGCATATGAGAGGCTGATCAACATATGAACGCATATGAGAGGCTGATCAGCATATGAACGCATATGAGAGGCTGATCAGCGTCTGCGTCTCAAAACCAATCTTCATACACGTGGTTATCTCAGACGCACGCCACTCCCAAACGGTGCAACAGATCAGCATATGAACGTCCAAGTGAGGTGAGGAGCAGATCGTCAGTTGACTGAGCAGTCAGCACACCTCGTTTCATCTACCCACCATAACCACCACAACCCACCTTGTCTCCAAAGTCGTTCATATAGAGGTTCAGCCACTGCAGGCTGCGGCTTTTCTTGATCACTTCAGCGATATGAGCCGCCCCCTTGGAGCCCATGCTGTTGTTGCTGAGGTCGATGGTGACCAGCTTGCCCTTGTGCGCGAGAAGGCCAGACGCCAGCACTCGAGCTCCCTCATCCCCCACTCCATTCCCGTTGAAATGCAACTCCTGTGCAGAGGGAAGGGAGGAAAAGGAGGAAGAGGGGAGGAGGGGAGGCGAGTGGTGTGAGGCGCCCCCTTGGAGCCCATGCTGTTGTTGCTGAGGTCGATGGTCACCAGCTTGCCTTTGTGGGTCAGCAGCCCCGATGCCAGCACTCGCGCTCCCTCATCCCCCACCCCGTTGCCGTTTAAAAGCAACTCCTATTGTAGAGATGGTTGGGAGGAAAGGGGGAAGGGGGAGGGGGGGAGTTGTTGCTGAGGTCGATGGTCACCAGCTTGCCCTTGCGTGCCAGTAGCCCCGATGCCAGCACTCGCGCTCCCTCATCCCCCACTCCATTCCCATTGAAATGCAACTCCTGGGGGGGTGGGGTGGGGGGTGGGAAGGGGAGGAGGGGAGGAGGGCGGGAGGAGGAGGGGAGGAGGGAGGAGGAGAAGAGGGAGGAGCGGAGCAGTGGAGTGACATACATAGAAGGCCCTGGAGCCTATAGGAAAACCCTGTGCAACCAGAATCGATTTAAAGTTTGATATTTATCTCCCTCCTGGAGAACCAACCTAAGGAGGCTTGGGATCAGCAGAGTCGACTGCTCACCCTGAGAGACTTGTTGACTTTTGAGTCTGCTTGATATTTACCTCCCTCCCAGAGAACCAACCTAAGGATCACGACTGCTCACCCTGAGTGACTTGTTGACTTTTGAGTCTGTTTGATATTTACCTCCCTCCCAGAGAACCAACCTAAGGATCACGACTGCTCACCCTGAGTGACTTGTTCTCCTGAAGGCCCTTGGCCAGGGCAGATGCTCCCAGCGTGCCTGCATAGTTGCCACTGTAGGGAAGCAGAGAGAAATGAGCCAGAGGGAGAACGCGGGTCAGAGAGGGGAGAGCGAGTTTGTTCTCCTGAAGGCCCTTGGCCAGGGCAGATGCTCCCAGCATGCCTGCATAGTTGCCACTGGCGATTGGGGAGCGGTGAGAAGGAAACACGGGGTAATAAAAATCGAGACAGGGGAGAGACGAGAGGGAAAAGCGAGAGCAGGCTTGATTCCCTTAGCCCCTTGGCCGATGCAGACACACCCAGCGTGCCTGCGTAGTTGCCACTGTAGGGAAGCAGAGAGAAATGAGACAAAGGGAGAACGCGGGTCAGGGGGGAAAGCAAGTTTGTTCCCCTGAAGACCCTTGGCCAAGGCAGGCAGATGCGCCCAGCGTGCCTGCATAGTTGCCACTGTAGGGTTGACTTTTGAGTCGACTCAAAAGTCAACTCGGCAGATGCGCCCAGCGTGCCTGCATAGTTGCCACTGTAGGGTTGACTTTTGAGTCGACTCAAAAGTCAACTCGGCAGATGCGCCCAGCGTGCCTGCATAGTTGCCACTGTAGGGTTGACTTTTGAGTCGACTCAAAAGTCAACTCGGCAGATGCGCCCAGCGTGCCTGCATAGTTGCCACTGTAGGCTCGTGACCATGGGGACAAGGAGGGAAAACGAGGGAATAGAGAAGGGGAGAAAGGAAAGATTGGAGATGCGTAATAGGGTTTTCTCCTGAAGTCCCTTGGCCAAGGCCGGCGCACCCACCCAGCGAGCCTGCATAGTTGCCAAAGCAGGGAAGCAGAGAAAAACGAGACAGACAGACACACTCGCCCATACACACTAACCCGTGCACACTCACACCCACTCACACTCACCCATGCACACTCACCCACTCACACTCACAACCACTCCCACTCATCCACTCCCACTCACCCATGCACACTTACCCACGCACACTCACCCGCACACACTCACCCACGCACACTCACCCACGCACACTCACCCACGCACACTCACCCACGCACACTCACCCACGCACACTCACCCACGCACACTCACCCACACACACGCACCCACGCACACTCACCAACTCACACTCACCCGCTCACTCCCCCACTCACTTGAGGTGTACTGATCGCAGAGACTTGGCACCTACACACACTCAGCCTCACACAACAAAACACTCACACGCCCCATACACTCACTTGAGGTGCAGCGAGCGCAGGGACTTGGTGCTGGTCGGTCAGAGCATCAGCGAGAGCAGCACAGCCCTGGTGTGGTGTGGTGTGGTGTGGTGTGGTGTGTGGGCGAGGGGAAAGCACTCACGCACTCACACACTCCCAGGCCCCACACACTCACTTGAGGTGCGGCGAACGCAGAGACTTGGTGCTGGTGAGGGCATCGGCGAGAGCAACACAGCCCTGGTGTGGCGTGAGGGCGACACACACACCACACACACACAGCCCACCAGTCATACATGAAGCTCACACTCACATGCCCCCCCCACTCATGCACCACACACTCACAGCCCCCCCCCACTCACGCACCCCACACTCACAGCCCCCCCCCACTCACGCACCCCACACTCACAGCCCCCCCACACTCATGCACCCCACACTCACAGCCCCCCCACACTCATGCACCCCACACTCACAGCCCCCTCACACTCACTTGAGGTGCAGTGAGCGCAGAGACTTGGTGCTGGTGAGGGCATCGGCGAGAGCAGCACAGCCCTGGTGTGGCGTGAGGGCGAGGAGGGGAAGGGAAGGTGTGAAGGAGGGAAGAGTGCAAGGCGTCAGGCAAGAGCAAAACAGGTTGAGAAAATCAAGGTATCACAGACGCGGGGTGAGAGAGAGCAACAGCGAGAGCAGCACAGCCTAGCGTGGCGTGAGGGCGAGGAGGGAAAGGGAAGGTGTGAAGGAGGGAAGAGTGCAAGGCGTCAGGCAAGAGCAAAACAGGTTGAGAAAATCAAGGAATCACAGACGCGGGGTGAGAGAGAGCATCAGCGAGAGCAGCACAGCCTAGCGTGGCGTGAGGGCGAGGAGGAAAAGGGAAGGTGTGAAGGAGGGAAGAGTGCAAGGCGTCAGGCAAGAGCAAAACAGGTTGAGAAAATCAAGGAATCACAGACGCGGGGTGAGAGAGAGCATCAGCGAGAGCAACACAGCCCTGGCGTGGCGTGAGGGCGAGGAGGGAAAGGTGTGAGGGAGGTGAGAGGGAAAGAGAGGGACGGACGTGAAGACATCTCCCCGGATCCCCCATGCCTCCCATCCCCCTTTCTCCCAATCCCGCTACCACCACCACACCCCTCCACCCCCTCATACCTTGTACCCAATCCCGTTGTTGTTCATCTCAAGGCACACAATCGCTTCGTTTTTCTTCACCAGCTCCGCTAACGCACAGTCCTAGACACACCTGTCCGATTCAGGTTCAACAACCATACCTCGTACGTACTCAATCCCGTTGTTGTTCATCTCCAAACAAACGATCGCTTCATTCTTCTTCACCATCTCCGCTAACGCCCGCATGCCCTCGCTCGTCCCCGATCCCATTGCTGCTCAGCTGCAGCACCCAGTGCCCACGCATCACAGCGTTCATACCGCCCTGTACCCATCCCAACCCCACATCATACCTCGTACTCGATGCCGTTGTTGTTCATCTCCAAACAAACGATCGCTTCATTCTTCTTCACCATCTCCGCTAACGCCCGCATGCCCTCGCTCGTCCCCGATCCCATTGCTGCTCAGCTGCATCACCCAGTGCCCACGCATCACAGCGTTCATACCGCCCTGTACCCATCCCAACCCCACATCATACCTCGTACTCGATGCCGTTGTTGTTCATCTCCAAACAAACGATCGCTTCGTTCTTCTTCACCATCTCCGCTAATGCTCGCATGCCCTCATCCCCGATCCCGTTGCTGCTCAGCTGCAGCGTCTGCACGCCGCGGTTCTGCTCCATGATACCAGCTAGAACCTTAGCTCCCTCGTCCCCAATGGTGTTCCCCGAGAGGTTGAGCGTCTTGAGATAGGCATTCGTCGCCAGGGCTTCGGTCAGGGCTTTGACCCCCTCCGGGCCGATCCCATTGTTGGAAAAGTCAACGCTTTCAACACTCTGTGGGGGTTAGCGTGGGGTTGGGAAAAGGGGAGGGCAGTGGGGTGAGAGAGGCGTCTGCATTCGCCTTGGTTCTGCTCCATGATACCCGCGAGGACTTTAGCGCCCTCGTCCCCGATGGTGTTCCCTGAGAGGTTGAGCGTCTTGAGATACGCGTTCGTGGCTAGAGCTTCTGTGAGGGCCTTCACTCCCTCGTGGCTAGAGCTTCTGTGAGGGCCTTCACTCCCTCGTGGCTAGAGCTTCTGTGAGGGCCTTCACTCCCTCGTGGCTAGAGCTTCTGTGAGGGCCTTCACTCCCTCGTGGCTAGAGCTTCTGTGAGGGCCTTCACTCCCTCGTGGCTAGAGCTTCTGTGAGGGCCTTCACTCCCTCGTGGCTAGAGCTTCTGTGAGGGCCTTCACTCCCTCGTGGCTAGAGCTTCTGTGAGGGCCTTCACTCCCTCGTGGCTAGAGCTTCTGTGAGGGCCTTCACTCCCTCGTGGCTAGAGCTTCTGTGAGGGCCTTCACTCCCTCGTGGCTAGAGCTTCTGTGAGGGCCTTCACTCCCTCGTGGCTAGAGCTTCTGTGAGGGCCTTCACTCCCTCGTGGCTAGAGCTTCTGTGAGGGCCTTCACTCCCTCGTGGCCAATCCCATTGTTGGAAAAGTCCACACTCTCAACACTCTGTTCAGGAGGGGGTGGAGAGGGGGGAGAGGTTGAGCGTCTTGAGATACGCGTTCGTCGCCAGGGCTTCCATCAAAGCCTTAACCCCCTCTGGGCCAATCCCATTGTTGGAGAAATCGACGCTTTCTACACTCTGTCGGGGTGGGGGGAGAGGAGGGGAAGGAACAGCGGGATAGGGAAGGGGAAGAGGCAGGGGGAAGGGAAGGGAAGGGGAAGGGGAAGGGGAAGGGGAAGGGGAAGGGGAAGGGGAAGGGGAAGGGGACGAGGAAGGGGAAGGGGAAGGGGAAGGGGAAGGGGAAGGGGAAGGGGAAGGGGAAGGGGGGTGCAGTGGGTTGAGCTGAGAGAGAGGGGTTTGCACGCCCCGGTTGGTTCTGCTGATGCCTGTCTGTCATCACCTTGGCTCTCGTCCCCTATGGTGTTCTTCTCCGAGAGGACTGAACGCCTTGGCCCCGGACCCCAGTTCTGCGCCATAATGGCTGACAGTCTCATCTCCCGCTTGGCTATGTCTAGTTCAAGGTGACTTCTAAGTCGACTCAGAAGTTTGGAATTCCCCGAAACGGCTGAACGACTTGGCCCCAGGTCCCGTTCTGCGCCATAATGGCTGCCAGTTTCGTCTCCCTCTTGTTTGTGTCTGGTTCTCAGGCTACAGGCTCACACTGAACAGGGTCACTGGCAGAAGCTCTAGCTATTCAAGATTCCAAAAAAAAGCAGATCGCTTTATAACGGGGATATGAATAGTTAAGATTAGCTCACATTGTTGAAGGCGAGAGATTCTGCGAGATATTTGAACCCCTCGTCGCCCAGACTCTTGCCTGCAGTGGCGGAGGGTAAGGGGGGAGGGGGAAAGGGTGGGGGGATGGGGGAGGGGAGGGCAAAAGCAAAATAATTACTTGCCAGTCGACACTCCTGCTTGGCTTCCTAACTAAACCTCCGTGCCCAGCAAACAGCCTCGTTTTCTTTACCACGAGAAATGCAGATACGACGAAATGCAGGTGCGACGAAATGCGGGGTAGCGATGAAGCAAGATCAACGGCTCTTGAACGTACCGCTGAGATCGACGGTCCTGAATGACCGAAGCTGCTGCGCTAACTCCTTAACTTTCGCCATCGACTGCTGCCGCCACTTGCGCTGCTTCTCCTTGTCGTCACCCGCACTAAACGACGAACTCTTGCTACCCGCACCCTCCTCTTCCTCGTCACTATCCCCGCTACTGCCGATCCCGCCACGCGCTAGGAACCGCGAAACTCCCCAGATTCCCGCGCCGACAGCCAATAGCATCGCGCCGATGCCTATTAACTCCGTGTCGATTTCAAATCCCGCGTTAGAAGCACTCCCGCGTCGCCCTCCTGACGCTTCTTGCACGGAAGAAGAGTATTGTCGCGACCGCCGCGCCGCGGACCGGCGGGTAGACGACGACGCGCCGCTTCCGCTTCCGCCATCGTCGCCGGACGCTCTAACGGTAACATTTGATGCGCCTCGAGACGAGGCTCGGAGGCTTGGGGATAGGACACGTGGCAGCTTAAGAGGCGACCAGAGAGGAGAAGGGGGGGGTCCATGGGGAGGAGGGACAAATGGGGAGGGGAGTGTGGGGAACGGGGTGTAGGAGGCGGGAGCCGCGGTGGAGTGTGGTGGGATGCGGTGCTGCTGTGAGTGACTGCATTGCGACGACGCCTGGTCCTGGTAAACACGGGACTAAGAAAACTTCTGAGTCGACTCAAGTAACGCAGGACTAGGAAAACTGTTGTACCAGCGAGTTAATCGTCAGGCGACGGTGATTTAACCACTGAGAACTTTCAAAAGTGCTTAACGATTTTGCTACGATCGACCAGTAGTAGTTAACGTTCGGTGACTGGCACGATCAATATTCTTGGCGTTCCCAAGCGCGGGGATATATCCCCTACACGTCCGAGACCTGACCCGCCAGGCCTAGGCTAAAATAATGCGGCAGAAGCGATTACAGAAATGAGATTCTTCAAAGAGGGATACGAAGAAAACCAGACCAGAAGGTAGGCATCGAGAGCTCCACTGACAACTAGAATCAGACTAGGATCTAGACCAGAATCAAGGATCAGGTAACTCCAGGCATCAACAAATGTCTTCAGCTCTGACCAGCATTATCGAGTGAAGGTTGAACCTGGCGTAAGAATAAAGTGCACTGTCTAGGGATGACGGCTAACCTTGTTCTCGTAACGGATCATCTTTTTGTGCGGTGTTGTGCCTTGAACATGCCTAGCTGCTGAGCTGTAAGTCCCGTACTCGCCTAGAAAATCTGGCGTGGAGCGCTGATATATATTCGGGTTGCGCTGTCATGGATAATGCTGCTCGCTGACTGGCTGGCCATCTGGTACACGTTGTCACAATCTCCAATGTCCCATTGACAGGGCCATTTTTCGCCTCGCGACAAACAATATAGGTAGTTCGCACATCTTGTAACGGGACGACAAATGTACAAGTGAGTTAGTACACGAGCAGCAACTGCAACAAACAATAGCTCACATTACCATCTTCTCAGATCTCCATCTTGTCATCTGCACATGTGTAAATGTGACTGACAGAAAGCTCTGGCCCTCAATCAAGACAAACACCTTGGCTGAACCCTGAGTATCTACACTTCTTTCGGCATTGTCCTCTCCATATGTTGTCCTCCTAATCATAGCCTGGGTCACCCCCCCCACATTCAGCTTGAACCTTGATAATTCCACATTCACCCCTCTACCCTTGACTCGTTGATTCACTATAAACACACTTACCGTTCGTCTTCCCTTGTTGTAAAACGCAGCTACAGTATGCCGACATTCCCGGGGCACTGCTAAAGGTCGACTTCCTGGCCGTGCAAGGTCCGTTAACTGCTTGAACATCCAAAACCGTTTCAGCTTAGTAGCAGGTTCTATCGTGCCCGAATATCCAGGAGGATAAGACCAATTCAACCCAAACAGCGACCACGATTCATTCGGGTCGAAGACTTGCCAGTATACATACGCCGATGCTTCCAGAACGTTCACCGATTCAATCACATTCCGCATCATGTAGAGCGAGAGATCGTACGAGCTCCCGGCCTTGTTCAGCGGCCCAGATTCAGACACCCATACTTCCTTCCCTAGCGACTTTGCAAGCGCCTTCATTCTTGAGTAGACCTTCTCAACCGCAGAAATACTCCCATTCCCCTCCCTCGTCACCGGCAGTGTATAACCGTGAACGTTTATACGATGCAGGTCGTCTTTCACGTGGAGCAGTGGTAACCAGACGGCCGTGAAGCCAGGATAGCTGTCCAAACCCACCATCTTCGTCTTGAGATTTCTCTTCCGAAGCAGTCGCACAGTTTTAGAAATTATCCGGCTCATTGTGGAAACGTTGAAGTTGCACCCCTCCTGCCCCATCCCCTTTATCCAGTACCCCTCTAACGCCTCGTTAAACGGCTCCAGTGTATCGAACTCGATGTTACCCAACGCCGGATCCGTTCTAAACCTTTCCACCACTTCCACCAAGTACCTCGCAAACCGCCCCTCATGCTTTCGCAGCAGGTTCGTCTGAAACGCCTTCTTCCCACCCGCAACGTCTTTACTCGCGGTCATCCACCAGGGCGGGCTGTTGGAAAACGCCTCGAACACGTTCACCCCGCGGGCCTTGGCTCCCAGCAGCACCGCCTGCTGCCTCGAATCCGCCGTCCAGTTGAACCCCGCTGCCTGCGCCGGCCAGTACCCCGGCATGGCCCGCCAGCGCAGCAGCGCGTCCGAGTGAAGCTGCGGGCTGTACTGCGGGAGCGAGCCGCCGCCTATATTGAATCGCACTATATTGAGGTTGAGGCCCGAGGGGAGGAACATGAGGTCCAGCAGAGGGTCCATCGCCGCCTGGGGGAACCCGCCGATGTAGTTGCCCAGCCTGGGGGGCGGAAGGAGAGGGGGCGGGAAAAGTAGGAGGAAGGGGGGGTGGGAGGGTAGGTTGTTGGGGTAGGTAAAGGGAAAACAGAGGGTCCCTTGCCGCCTGGGGGAACCCGCCGATGTAGTTGCCCAGCCTCGTGTGGGGGGAAAAGCGGATGAGGGGGAGAGGAATGTTAGGGGAAGGAAGGGGTGGGGTGTCGGGTGGGGGGTTTATAGGGAAAGTGAGGAATCTAGAGCGGACAAGAATAGTAAGTGTTGCCCAGCCTGGGGGTCGGGTGCGGAGACGGGAGGGGGGGATTAGTTGCGCGGGAGGGGAAACCGGGGACGAAGATTGCAGGTGGTTGAGACAGGTTGCATTATCACATCATTAAAAGCGAACAATCAAAGGCAACACATTCTCACCACGCGAGTGACGTGCCCCATCCCTTCCACTTCGTTCCGATTTGGCGTGGAGTAATTGTCACGAGGATCGGACCCTTACTGCTCGAGCACACTCCGAACCGTTCCCATGCCGGCTCGAGCGTCGGCGCCGGTGCTCGCTTCCTGCCGCCCGCCCATGCAGGCCTGCGTGAGTTCGCAGAATCATGCCACACTGGGGGATAGCGCGAGATATTCCGGTGGAGATCGGTTCCGAATCGAGAGGCAGAGGCTGATGATTGTACGGAGGGTGACTGCACAGAGGGTGCTGCTGTGCTCGGTGCGTGTGCGTCACCCGAGGGGCGTAACCGTTCGATAAACGCTACGGTTTGTTCGAACACGGACGAGCCTTCAGTGACCGTTGTGAATGTTGTTGAAGCTGAGAGCAGAAGCACAACGTGAAGGAGGACTGCTTGTAGCTGTAACATGCGGGGCGGGATTGTTACTACCCTAGGATGAAGTCTACGCAATGCAACAGAGTGCATTGTCAACGATAGTTGACAAAAAAACAGCAATCAGTAAATAATGACAGCAAATAATGCTGTTGACAGAGGATGGTGGATCAGTTATTGACTTCGCCGGGTAATAATCGGGAGTGCATTGTACGGGCGGGATGCACGGACAGCCCAAGTCAGACTGCAATAAGGAAGCAAGTTATCTTAGTGATAGTCGCGAGGTGCGACAATGTCCTGGCTACGAAGAACTTGGTTCTTTGCTAGTAAGGATGGTGGAAATTCCTCGTTTCGACTGCCAAGTGCCGCGTGATTCGTAGGAACCATGAAATTTCTGTTTTCGTCGGTCTCGCAGTTGTGGCTCGTCTGGGTTACCGACGTCGTCAATGTCGTGCTCTTGACATGCTGATAAGGCGGCTCGAACGTAGCGTGCGGAACATGTCTTGCATTCAGCAGAAGGATGCGGCGCGGTATACTATCAAAATACAAACCAGCTGTGCGATTACTGAAGTCGTACATATTCATAATTGAGAGATGCAATGTCAGGCTTATCTAAATCGTGATTATTCAACCATATATATACATATACACTCATTGCTAGAGTTTATTGGCATGTTTGCTGAATGTTGATAAGACGACAGGGAAATATTATAAAGATTCTAAGATCCACTACAATACGTCATGTAATTGTTTATGTTACGAGTGCAATTGAGTGAACGAACGAGAATTGCACTATCGAAGCAAGAGTACAATGAGCGAAGGCATGAGCGAAGAATATATAGCGAAACTACAGTGGTAACGGTAATGGACTGTGGTTGTCGCGCGACCAGGGTTCTCGCTAGGTTTAGGGCCTGTCTGACAGTACCCTCAAAAACATTTTCCCGGTCTTAGGCTTTGACGACGAAAATTTTGTGGTCTGCAGTATAAGCTGAAATATTTTTCCTAGTCTGATAAACTAGACGAAAAAAAAAAACCAAGTCAGCCTACAAGAACACTACCTGCAATTATACTCATTCTATCAAACAACCTAGGCAGTGGCTAAGGACCTAGTCAGAGTCACTAGAGCCGTAGTCCTCATTGCTATCACTACTACCATCCTCACTCCCCACGGGAACTGTGGTCCGTTCTTTCCTGGTAAGCCACGGGTACTCAACATCCATCCTTGCTGCTTCTGCTACCAGGGCCGCTTCTCGAGCAGCTGCTTCTGCTGCTGCCAGTGCAGCTGCTGCTGCTGCAGCTGCGGCCGATCTCTTCCTCGCACGCTTGCTCTGTCTCTCCCCGGACGCCATCAGCACATCGTTAGCAGGCCTTCGCTTCTTGGAAGCATTCCACCTCCTCAGCAACTCGGGCCACTCCATGTCATAGTTTAGGAGCGACACAGCCATCAGCTCTCCCAGCTTCGCGTCGCACAGGTTCCCGCGAAGCCAACTCTTGATGATGTTTTGTCGTGAGAAGCCGCGCTCGCACTCGACGGTACTGAGCGGAAGCACGACGACAGCCATCCACAGGTGGACGAGGTTCGGGTAGCACGTCGCCCAGTCGGGGGAGGACAGCATGAGTTTCAGGCTGTCCGCACACCCGACATCCTCTTGGTGTGTGGCCAGGATGGTAGAGAAGGTGACAAGCTCTCGCTGCGCTCTCGCCCAGTTGATGCCTGCGGTTGGGGTGCACATGGGAACATTGGAATTGGTGATGTAGTGTTTAGACAAGCATGTGGAGACAACGCTAAACATACAGCTCATTCCCGGCATTTAACGCACCTGGTATAGTGTCAGGGTCATCTGGCTTCCGCTTGAACATGTTGCGCAGAGACTGGAGCCATTGGCCTAGCCGTTACGCCCGTATTTTTAGTTCGGGTCACCGAAGACCATGCAGACGCTGCAGCGCATGCACGGGCGGCCTGCCTTGTTTTCGGAGATGAGGAGCCAAGGAAAATACCGCTGCCACTGCTGCTTGCACTTCAACTGAAGCTCCTCAACCGACAGTTGCTTGCCCTTCGGGTCTTCGAAGTCTTCACTCGCAAGTTCAGGTTCTGGTTCCGCGGGGCGCGGAAGAACTGACGGTGCTGGCTGAGTCGGACCGCCCGGACGGCAGACGGTGAGAACACGCTGTTTATACCGCTTCTTCATAGATCTGTCAGGCAAGACGGGGTTAGCACTGCGAGAGGTTGTAGCGACCGACACTGGAGGGATGCTCTTATTTGCACATTCGTCAGGGAGCGGGGGGGATAACAGCGTTGTTGGGGTAGTCGTTGCTGGCACGTGTTGATCGCCATTTTCCGAGTTGGGCAAAGGTATCGCAGCAGAGGTCGACGCAATCGGAGGGGCAGCAGAAGCGATCTGCTTGCCCCGCGTTAGGAAGTCTAGGGCGGAAAGCACGGGCTCCCCATCGCACGGTCCGCCGGCGGGGACGGCCATAGCCTAGACGCTGGGAAGCGTCACGCTGGGAAATCAGACGCTGGGAGGGAAACGATCCATGCTCGGCAGGGAGAGAGCTGAGGACGAGCAGGAGAAACAGGCTTGTTTTCAAGCCAGACCCAGCTGCATGAAACCCCATCACCGTGCACTGCACTAAGAACCGAAAGGCGGTGCGTGTTGGGAGCGGGGGGCACTACGACCACAGTGATGTGTTGCGCGCCCTCTACGAAAAGCAAATGCGCTGGCACAACAGGACAGCGCGTTGTCGTGGCTGTGGCTGGCGTCGCCGCCGACAGCCACCCAAACGACAAACGCCTGGCAGCATATGCCGCAGATACCAGCGAGGCTGCACAAGGCAGTTACAGAGCTGTATAAGACACGCGTAATGAATGCGCGTGCAGTTACAAGGCAGCAATCGGCTGTACCTGTGGTGGTTCTGTCCTCTGGTCAACTGGGCCTATGGCCTAGTGGGTCAAGTTGTCGGTTTCAGACGAAACCGAACTCGCTATCTGTATCCTCAGATAAATAATTCTACACGTCTGAAAAAATCATACGAACTTAAAAGTCAAATCTTGCTGATCAGATGAGAACAAACACAAAATCTTAGGATTAAGATGAATACAAAAAAGCCAGTCTTAAACGCAGCCCATCAGACCAAATTGGTCTGATAACGAGAACCCTGCGCGCGACGGGCCTGGGACTGAGGTTGGGAAAAAGTGTCGAAGCGGAGGCCCGGAACGCGGGTTACCCGCCGAGCCGTGAGGTCGGGGTGCGATGTGCGAAGCAGGGCTGTCGATTCAAGGGCATTTGCCCTTAATGCCCTGAACATTCCGGGTTATGTTCGGCGCAGCTCGACCATTTTAAGGGTTTGATTCGACTGGCACCCGTGCCAGTTAAGGGCATCGTTTAGCCCTTCCCCGGACGCGTTAAGTGCTCAATCTGGGCCGTCCCCTGAATCTGAGATATACTTTCGGTTCCGCAAACCCCCCCCCCCCCCCCCCCCCCCCCCAAAATCTTGCGGAACACCCCCCTCCCCTAACCCCCCCCCCTTTCCATAAAAGTTGCACAATAGAGCGCTAGGTGGAGGATGTTTCACTCGATTTCTATCCAATCTAGTGTGTGTCTAGTGTCGAAGTCAGTAGATGAGTAGAAATGCAGTAGGTAGTGCAGCTGTAGTTGTAGTTGGAAGTTGTGACATACAGGTTGACTGGAGTAGTTAGCAGTGAAAAGTATGTGATTTTCTTGTCTAGGATGTTGTTTAGGTTAGTTAAGTACACAACACTTTGGAGCCCAGATTTCAAGTTTACATTTCGGCCTGCACCCGTGACCGTTAAGGGCAAAAATTTGGTCACCTCCCTGAAAATCAGGGTCAGAATTTCAGCAGCTGAGGGCCTCAAGTTCTGTCCCCAGGGATATCGACAGCCCTCGTGCGAAGGTGGCGGGCGGATTGTCGATGCGAGGGTTGCGAGTGGTAACGGTGCTGACTGTGGTGCTACAGTGATGTACGCGTTGAGCAGGGATGCGTAGTAAGGAAAAGGAATTTTCCTTACAGTTTATCAAATGTAGGTACTCCCTACAGTATACATTATTAATGGGCTCAGTATGTCTACCCGACGTCCTCCACTCTCTCTCACCCCACCCACTCCACATTCTCTCTTATAACGAAGAATCATCACTTGCAGGGTCCCTGGGCCCACGGGCACTTCCTCTAAAGCTACGTCTTGTGGCTTGATGGTCATGTTCACCCAGTCATGATCAAGGCATGTCAGTATTATTTCATGTAGGTGCTCCCTACAGCATAGATTATTAAAGAGCTAGCAGAGTGTTCACCCCTATGACTCGTAATCACCATCTGAAGGGTCCCTGCACTTGGCCCACTGGCACTTCCTCGAGAAGCACGTCTTGGTTGGCTTGATGGTCATGTTCGCTGTGAACAGCTGGCAGCTCAGACCCGAAAATGTGTAGTACAGGCAATTCGCGTCCCCGATACAAGACGACTCGCACTTGTCCAGCTGATTCGTGAAAAAGAGATTTCCATCCATGATGACTAGTTGCTCGTTCTTGTGCGCCTCGCACTTAACTGCAATTCCTCATCACAGACGGGAAAGGCAAGGGAAAGATGGGTTGAGGATGGCAAGCGACACGAAGAAATCTAGCGTGGATTTTCTCGAGACAGCCGGAATGAAATGGAGGAAGCAGCTAATTGGCCTACTTCAACAGAGACGAATTACTTACTTGCCGGAGGGGCAGGAGGTGGAGTCGGGGGCTTCGGTGGCTTCGGGCTCTTAGGCGACTTGGGCTTCTTAGGACTCTTCGGGCTCTTAGTCACATTGGTCTCTGCCGGCTTTGGTGGAGACTTGGGCTTGCTCGGACTCTTGCTCGGGCTCTTATCGGGGCTGTTGCTGGGGCTCTTATTGGGGCTCTTATTGGGGCTCTTATCGGGGCTCTTATCGGGGCTTTTGTTTGGACTCTTAGTCGGGCTCTTGTTAGGGCTCTTATCGGGGCTCTTGTTGGGGCTCTTATCGGAGCTCTTGTTGGGGCTCTTATCGGGGCTCTTGTTGGGGCTCTTATCGGGGCTCTTGTTGGGGCTTTTCACGGGGCTCTTTTTAGGGCTCTTATTCGGGCTCTTTTTCGTCGATCCTTCCTGGACCTCGGGCGGGTTCTTGGCCTTCGTCTGGCTTTTCGGTTGAGACGTGCCCTTGCTGCTGCCCCTGCCGCCACCACCGCCGCCGGCCGAATTCTTACTGTTTACTTTCGGCGGGCTTTTCGTTTGAGGTGTAGTCTTGCTGCTGCCGCCGCTGGCGCCCGAGTTTTTACTGTTACCGCTGCTACCCTTGACCGGGCTCGGTGTCGGTTTCTTCTTCTTGGGGGGGACCGGGGACGGCGACGGGGTTGCCTGGGCGGCTGTCGTCTTGGTAAGCCGGCGCCTCAGGATGGCAAATTCACGGCCGTGCAGCTGCCAGAGCGCGCCTGATGGGGGATGCGTGGATAAAAATTAGTTGATTGGAATGGATGATTTAGGGGCAAAGGGCGCCTCAGGATGGCGAATTCGCGGCCGAGTAGCTGCTAGAGCGCGCCTGATGGGAGAGGCGTAGAGAGAAATAATCAGTAAGGGAGCAAAGATGAAGGAAAGGGAAGGGCGCCGGTTCGCGGCAGTGTTGCTGCCAGAGCACCCCTGAAAGAGGATGAGGGGAGATTAATAACGGATAAAGGATTGGAGAAACGGAAGGGAGCCGTAGGGTTCGCCTGGCTGTGGTGGTCGTTTTCAGCTTGCGCTTCAGGGAGGCGAACTCGCCGCCTTATCGCTGCGAATTCAGCTTGCCCTACGGCCGCGATGAATCCCCTTTTTCGGTTTGTCGGACGTGGCGGCCGCGGTTAACACTTAAGTAGCAGTCTAGTATGTCAGTGACATATCGTCAGAAGAAAGGAAGGCTATGAATGGCGATTCAAGACGTGTGCATACAACAAAGGGAACGCTGCGAATGTCTAGACTCGTAGAGGGCGCACCGTCATCAGAAGAAAACGGCCGGATTGCTGTCTCCTCTAATCGCGCGGCTGGTATCGACGCAAGCAGCAGCAAAGGTACGGCCCACAGAAGCAGATGAAATGACTCAGCAGCCATTGCCACGTGGGCAACTAAAGGGCTTCGTCCAACCAGCTGCGATCTGCACTCCGGCGTATTAGCAAGTGCTTCTAGATATGGCTCCGAGTGCTTATGCTAAAGTGGAAAACGCATGGCTAGCGCTGGGCTGTAGTAGTGGAGAACGCGAGCGTCTTTGTCAGCTGTAGAACTGTGAACAGAGAAGAAGAGCATGTGAATTACGTGTGAAACGTTGTGGGTAAAGATGGCGAACTGAATCGTGGCTCGACTTCCTTCTGTTAATCAAGGAATCTATAGAAAATCGCGATCACTGATCAATGTCTGGAACCACGAACAACTAGGTCTATCGCACATAAATGGCCGCTGGCTGAAAGGACGACTTATGGAATGTGTTGACCATTCGACTTGCTACGCGAGCCGACAAATTTCCATACAGTTTCGTCGAGTCGTGGCTATCAAGTGCGTGTCACGATGCTGAGCAACCGACAACGTCGGCAGCCAGTGACGTCGGCTGCGACACTTGCGGAAGCACAAGCGTGGGTTCGTAAGGCGGGGTGGGCTGTGACGGCGGGTGTGTGGTGAAAAAGTAGAGTGCTCCGAGCTGAGCCAAAGCAGCCCTTTCCTTTCGGAGCTGTGTTTCCCCGAGGAATTCGAGGGGGCTTGAGAGAGATGGGAAGAGGGGAGGGGAAGTGGGATTTCTTGGGTGGGTGGGTTCTTCTGGCGGAGAAATGTTGCAGATTGGGTGCCGACATCTCGAAGCGCGTTTGAGCGAGCCGATGCGCGGAGGATTTTGATGAGGTTGGTTTGAGGGCCGGACGTGCCATGTTAGCTCGATGGGAGAGTCCGGACAGCCGTCGATCTGAACACGGATGTTTGACGTGTGAATGGAATGGAGCCATTTATTTCGCGGGCAAAGGAAATTTCACATTTCAATTTTGAAAGTGCTGATAGCACTCTTGCTGTACAAATACGAAAACGGTTGCCAATCTCAATACGTATGGTCGTATAGTATGGATGCAATAAGTAATCTTGTTCATCATGCGAGGAGATCCCCGGATAATCAGTACTGTATTATCGTTAATTGGTGGCAATCTCAATAGGTATGTAGTAGGTTAGAAATTTATCATGCTTACTTCACTAAATCAACAAGTGCCAGCACTTCTGGCCTCACACAAGTACTGCATCTTACCTAATAAGTGCATTCAAATAGCTTTGTAACGACTCAACTGTACATTCAGCTTGACAGCAACTCAGTGATACACTCTGAGAGGCCTCTGTAGGACGTTGTCCCTCCCCCTCTCTCACTGACAGTCTGCACCATGCTGTCAACAAATGGTCGCAAGCTCAACAGGGTACACCTCAAATCACTTTCATTCCTGCCCTCTCCATTGCTGAAAGTAGGCATTCCCCCTGGCACTGAAAGCGTCCCTTGCTGCTCCTCAGATCGCCTTTTCTTCCCAAAAGTTTGCAAAAACTGCCATATTCTAAGAGGATGCCTCAGCGCCCATGGCCGGAGCACAGAGCAAGGCAATCCGCCGAATTGGTCAGCAGGCAGGGAGAGGAGTGTGGAGACGAGGGGGGCGGACGGGGTTGCATGCAGCAGCAGCATCCCCAGGCCTGCGAGTGCCTCACAACTTGGCCCTTCCCATGTGATGTGTTTGGCTGGAGAGGAAGCAGACTTGCTGCCTGGAGTGCTGCGGTGATGAGCATGACCTTCAGCAGACAGATGGCTCCTGGCAGCAGCAGCAGCAGCAGTGGCGGCGGCAGCAGCAGCACTAGCCCGTAGCAGAAGCAATGGAAGAGACACCTCACTCTCTTCTCCTGCAAGCCCTTTTTTGGTGTGAATCCAACCAGCAGCCTCAGCAGCTGCCAACTGCCATAACCACTGCTGCTCCTGCCCGTCCCAGGACCAGCTGTCTCCAATTAACGGCATCCACAGATCCTCCTGCTGTCGCTGCTGCTCTCGCTGCTCTCGCTGCTCTTGCCGCAGCTTCTGCAGCTTCTGTTCCAGCTCTTTATCTATCTCATCCTCTTCCTCCAGCTGCTCCTCTTCCTCCCGCTTCTGCTCTTCCTCCCGCTTTTGCTCTCCCTCTCGCTTCTTCTCTTCCTCCTGCTTCTGCTCTGCCTCTCGCTTTTGCGCTTCCTCCCGCTTCTGCTCTTCCTCTCGCTTCTGCTTCTGGCTTGCTTCCCTCGCCTCCTTATCCTCCTTTTCCTGTATAGATGACCACCTTTTCCTGAACAATGAAATCTCCCCCAAGAGAATCGCAGATTGCAGAGCAGCAATGGCGGGCGGATCAGCAGCAGATAGCAGCAGGTGCAGCAGGGGAGGGTGGCCGGATGTGGCATGGGGCAGCAGGCGCAAGGCCTGGTAAGAGACACGTTGGAAGAGGAGATTTGAGCCGTCCAATAGGATCCACCGCTGCAAGTCCATGTGGACTGCTGATGCCAGCAGATGCTGATGGTTGGGATGAGTGATGTGGGGATGATGATGATGATGACGGTGGTGGTGGTGATGGTGGTGGTGGTGGTGAAGGGAGAGGGGGTGAGGTGCAGCAAGGGTATGCAACACGCCGTTGCACCTTGGTGGCACTTTGTCCTCCCGCTTCTCCTCTTCCTCTCGCTTCTGCTCTTCCTCTGCTTTTTCCTCCGATGCTGCTCCTCTTCCTTCTGCTGCTCCTGGTCCTCCTGAGATGCCTGCTGCACCTGCTGACGAAGCCTGCTTGCCTGCACCAACGCCTCCTTTCTTTCCCTTGCCCACTAATCCACCCTTACGCCCATCCCCCCCATCTCCACCTCCATCTTTCTCCGTACCGCTTCCCTCACCTCTTCCCTCATCTCTCCCTTCATCCCTCCCCTCATCTCTCCCCTCATCCTTCGCATCCTCTTCCTCATTGCTCCCTTCCTCACCTCGCTCCCAGCACAGCATAACCAGGCGCTCATAGAAACCAAAAACCACTTCTGCTGGCACCCCCCTACACCCCCCTCTTTGTTCCCCACCCTCGTCACTCTCCTCTCTGCCCTCCCCTCCAGTCGAGGACCCAGCCCCCTGAGTATCCCTTTTCGAACGGGCATCAACTGAAGACGCAGGCTTAGTAGCAACTTCTGTACCACTAGCTGCCCTGGCTGCTGCTGCAAGTGCATCGGCCGCACTCAGTTGCTCTTTCTCCGCTGCTGCTGCACCCACACACAGCAACCAGGCAGTAACTGGCTGGCCCATGTCATGCCACGATATAAGCAGCTCCTCTACTGGCAGCAAGAAGTTCAAGTCATACCCACCGCATTCACCCTTGTCCTTGTCAGTCGCCTCACCGTCCTGCTCGCCCTCCCCATCTTCTTTTCCTTTTCCACTCCGCTGGCCCTCCTCCCCTCCTGTAGCGTCCATCGCATTCGCCTCTTCTCTCTGCTCCCCCTGGTTCTCCTCCCCATCCTCCCCACCACCACCCGCCCTCCGCTCTCTCCACCACCACTCATTCTGCAAAACATACTCATGCAGAACCATCAACGTTGACGTCCAGTTTGATAACGCGGCGCCTTCTAACGGGTATGGCGTTCCAAGCTTCGCCTTCACACCAGCTGCACCAGCAGATACACCGTTCCCAGATGCACCGTCCTCAGACGCACCACTCCCAGAAGCATCCTTCCCAGTAGCAGCCTCATTCCCAAAAGCATCGTTCCCAGTGACACCGTCCCTAGAAGAACCTTCCAAAGTTCCCACGGTGGCAGGAAGGCAGGGTAGCGGCAGCTGCAGCTCGTTCAACCGACTAGGAGACAGGGAGGCTAAGGACGGGAACAGAGGGGAGCCTACTTTGGCGAGACATTCGGAAACCGTAGTGGAAATCAGCGCCCATTCCTTCCTACCTAATCTACGCTCCCTAAATCGAGGAAACCTAAAAGTGTCTGATTTGACTGCGCGTTCAGCTTCAAAAGCCTTTGGGTCTCTAGCTAAAAACATGGCTGATAGCCTAGCTACCTTTGTAGCTGCGTCTTCTCTGCTATTCAATCCCTCTGGTGATGCTTCAGGAAGGGATTCTGCACCTGATCCTGCTGCTAAGTCTGTCGATACGCCTGCTGCTGCTTTATCTACCGAAGCTGCTACGCGAGCTCTCTTCGACCTAACTCCCTTAACTCCCCGTCGGTTGCTGCTGCTGCTGTCGTTCCTGGCTGCCTCACCTGCCCCGTCGGCTGCTGCTTCTGCTGCTGTCGCCGTTGCTTCCTCCCCTTTCCTGCCATCCTCGCAAGCATCGCTCGCCGTCTCCCCCTCTGTAGTGCCTCTTTCTGTAGTCACATCCGAGTCGACGCTCCTGTCAGATCGTTCCTCATCCAACCGCGCGTCTTCCTCATCCCGTTGTTCCTCATTCACCACAGGTCGCCGCTCCCTCGCCCTCCCTGCAGTTCCCCCCGTTCCCCCTTTGCCCTCTTTTTCCATCTCCTGCCCGCCCTCCAGTTCCCCGTACTCATTCCCTTGCGCCTTCCCCTCAGCTTGCCCCTGCGGCTTCCGCCCGCCAGCTTCACTGACTGGATACTCGCCTCTTAAAGCCACCAGGAACGCCTTGAATCCGCCAATGACCTTCGCCCCGTCCCCTGCCTCCGCAGCTTCTTCCATACCCTTTACCATTCTCTCTATAGCCCTCATCTCCTCGTCCATGCCCTCTCTCTCCTCGCTATGCTCTCTTTTCCCTTCCTCCTCCACCACCTCCCCTCCCTCCACCTCCCCAGCCTCCACATCCCCTCCCTCCTCCGCTTCCTCCTCCCCTTCCTCCTTCTCCTCCCTCTTCCTCTTCCGCTCCCTTTTACCACTCCCTCCCTCCGCCGCCTCGCTCTCCCCTCCGGCGCGCTCCCCTAGTTCCATCTCTGCGCCCTCCGGAGACTTGCTACGTTTCCCCGCTCCGCCAGGGCCTTTTCCACCAGCCTGGTCTTCCCCTGCAGCGCTAGCCTCCCCCATTTCCGCATCTTCCGCCGCCCTCGCGCCAGTGATGGACCCACTTGCGTCAACCGCGCCCTTCCCGGCAACGGCTGCAGCAGCAGAACCACCCACAGGATGGCTTCCGCTAACGCCTGCGCCCACTTCCCCCACTTCCCCCAACTCCGCCACCTGCCCTTCCTTGCCTCGCTGTTCCTCCGCCGCCCTTATCCCCGCTCCGCTGCCAACAATATTCCCCATGCCGTCCCTCTCCGCTGCCAAATGCGGGGGGGAAGGGCTTGGGGACTTCACCAAAGCCCCGCTCCCCCGCGCTTGGCCCCCTCTCCCCACTGCCCCTCCCCCTCCCCCAGGTATTCCCGCCGCCGCAGCTCTTTCCGCATGGTGCGGGTCATGCAGGGGTGAGGGGGGTAAGTACCGATGGGGAGACGCGTCGAGCCGACAATGCGCAGGAAAAAGCGCCTGAAGCCGCTCACGAAGCTTTGTCGGAATGAAGCCGCTTGTGGCTAGCGGCTCGAGACTAGGCACGACTCCCTTGCCGACCAAAATGTCGATCGAGGCGGAAATTCCGCGGAGAATCACGTCTCTATGCGCCGCGTCGTAGTTATCTAGGAGAAGGAAGAGGAATTCCAGGAGGGAGTTGGTCATAATGGCGTATTTGGGAAGGGAATGGACCATGCACAGCATCGCGGGTTCGATGTTCATGATGTTGTCTGTCTTGGGCATGAAGAAGAGCCAATCGTAGAAGAGCGCCAGCTTGGCATTTGCCTCCATGTGGCAGCTTCTGCAGCATTTGAGCAGCCAACCGACAATCGCCCAGCGTGGCACCACGTCGGATTGCAGCACCTGATTGGTCGGATGCACCGAGCAGCAGACGAAACGAATCAAATCCGCCACGAGGGACTCGCTCTCCGGGGCGGCGAGAAACCGGGTGGCAAACCACGTCTGGTAGCGCCGCTGGTGGCCCATGCGCACGTGTGCGAGGAGAAAGCGAAGCTGCGACTCCATTTCGGGCGTAACTCGCGACGTGATGAAACGCGTCGGCGTCCGCACGACGTACAGCTGAGCTAAATCGGAAAACCCCGGCGCGCCCATAGTCTCCGGTCTATGCACCAAGTCCCTCCAAATCGGCTCGAATTCCGGAATCAACGCTACATCCTGCAGCAGACGCACTAAGTCGCGACCAATTACCAGGCAGTCCTGAAACCGCTCCCTAATCAGCTGCGTGCAAAACGCGACCTCCTGCTGCTTCAGCTCTACTACGGTTGGCGCCTTACTAACCGCATGGTCTGGTAGAAGCCTAAGGAACGTGTATAACGAGAGGGCGAGAAGATTCGGGAGAGTGTAAAGCCACTGCGCGTTGGTACGGAGGACGTCGAGTAATTGCCGAGCTAACCACACATTTCCCACGCTGAGATCGCCGCCGGAGACCTGACGGAAGAGGCAGAGAAAGAGCGTTTCTGCTTCCTGAACGGCTAGCTGAACCAACTGCCGGAGGATCCAAATGACCTGCGCGCGCACGTGGTCCTGGAGCTTGCTCCACTTGTCGCTCGCTAATCGCTGAAGCGTCGCTAGAAGCGACGCGTGATGATCGCGCGTCACGGAGCACAGGATTCCGAACAGTCGCACCGCCGCTGCCGGAGCCGCGTGCGACGTCGGCGAGGGCGGCGGACCGGCTTTGTGCGACGCGATGAGGATGGCGTAGAGGAGACCGTTGACCACGTCGGCATGTTGTTGCGCGCCTTCCGATACCATTTCCTGCAACTGGCTGTGCACGTCGCCTTCGCTGTCCGACGCGAGAAGCGGCTTGAGACGCGCGTGGAGAGATTGAAGGGCCAGGTCCAGCTCATCTGTCGCCTCGAAGGCCACGTGGCTCAGCAGCCGCGAATCAGCGCGTGGCACGTGGACATGAACGTGCGCATGGGAATCTCCGCGCGATCCGCCGACCGAGCCGCGGGGCTCAATGGCGACTGGTGCTCCGATCGGCATAGCGGCAGGGGCTATATTCCAAGAATTAGGGTTTGGATGTCAAATCAGTAAGTCAGTTGAGCGGTCCGTTCATCCTAGCTGCCATCCAAGTTTCAAATATTCGCGCGTGAGTGCTCTTGGTCGATGCGCAAACCCTAATCTGGGTCCGAAGCGCGGTAATTGGTTTTGGTCAAGCAAGGGGGCTTGAACATTGCTGGAAATTGCTCCAGCAGCTAAGTATGGAAGAAGAGGGCCTGGATTGGCAGGAATTGGGTGAGGGAAGAGCCCCTGAGGAGAGGAGTGCTGCTGGGGCCAAGCCATCCGGAAAGAAGCTGATTCTGAAACGAAGAATGTGTTGAATGAAAATGAGGGAAAACCGCCTGGTATTTATAGCTGGGCTGGCTGAGCTGAGGGGCTTGAGACGCGGTTCCAGCCAAGCCTGCGTTACACGCACGGGATTCCCAGGCCAACTGGTAGATAGCTTCGGTGAAAGGTAGTTTTTAAATGGGAAATGAGGAAGCTCGGAACGGTTCCCTCAGTGCATCTTGCAGAGGAAATTCTTGAGTTATGCGACTGACTCTTCATGATTTTTGGCAGGATGTCAGACGTCGAAATGCACTCTTCCGGCCAGATTCGTCAGCAAATTTGCTTGCGAAATGCACGGATGGATGGCATGCCAGGTCGGCTCGCGGGTCACAAGCTGGCCTTCATCCATTCAGCTTCATTCCCGCCGCCAGGGTCCAAGTCCATCCAATCTGTTTTCGCCAAGGGCGATCGCGCTTCTGGTGTGGTCAATCTTGGGATTTGTGCTTGGCCGAGTTTTTTACGTAATGTGAGAGATCGAAAGCGAACAGTGAAGGTATCCTTCTTCTTAACGAAGCATCGCATAGCAGCAACATTCAGCGGTTTTGACGAAAGGAATCATGACAAGGCATCTGCCTCCCCTTCGTTAGTTTTCAGTGTGACCTGCGCGCGAAACTACCCTCACAAATGACGAGCTTGTCTCGTTCACTTCCAACAACATTCCAGTCCATTGTCCCCACCTGGATCCTATCAATCTTGAAAACCCAGAATTACGGCAGGGAAAAAGGGATAACATGAATCTTAATACACTACGAAACGCGGAGATGCCCCCCTATGCTGGGAAACGCCCTGGGCGCGGAGTTTCCCCTTCCCCCGATTGGAGAAGCGACGGAGATCCCCAGGACCTGTTTGCAACTGCAAGAAGTTCCTGACCAACCAACCTCAGCAACCCAGCCTGTCACAGCAAGCAACACGACCCCATCAGACCGTTCTGGGTATCGTTAACTCTTTCTGTGAACGTATGTAACCTATAACAACCGAAGCAAAATGAAACTTACACACACCCGTGTAGGATTCCCAGATTCCAACTTGCAGGCATCCCAGTTTTGTGTAGAGGTGAAAGGATTTCAAGTGAACTATTTATGGCTGTTTCAAAGTCATTCAAGTCCCCACATTTCCTCTTTACTCCGCAAATTTCGGAACTCGGAGAGCTACTAAGTACGAGAAAGTAGGTCTCTCTTCAGCGAAAGTGAACTAATGGGTTTGGAATAAGAACGAGGATAGGTTATGTCGAGCTACGAGACACCCTCTTTCACGTAGGCGCACTGCGAATGAGCAGTTTCCGAAATATATTTGCAGCCTGCGACAAACATTATCATGGCTACATGTCTCGTAGAAGCTAGGTTCTTGCTTCCGCTTTAATTTATGTCAGGCAATGCCTAGTCATACGGGTAGTATCTCAGTTTTCTCAACTAGTCCGAGTATTGCAGAAGGCATCAGTAGACAGGCCAACCATTTGTCCAGAATCTATTTTAGGTCCGTCCGATTTCAAGGGACTTGACGTATACTTGACTACGCTCGCAAGCAGCTAACAGAGAGTCAAAACCGGTGCTTCGCTTGACGGCGCTTCGTTCTTCGGTGCTTCGTTCGACGGTCCTTCATTGGTCTGCTTCCAGAGGCCAGCCTCGATTCACCGACGACCATCATGTCACTCGACGGTGATGTAAGCGCATTACTTCCCAAGAAAATGTTCGATGGCATCGGTGTCGTCAGTGAGACGAGTCTATTCCACACGTAGTACCAGGTGAAATTTGAGTCGACTCAAAAATCGCCTGCTTTCAGATGACGTTCTTGGTTCAACTAGAGTTGAGCGACGCAAAAAAATGCCGTTCTTGGTTCAACGACGACCATCATGTCGTCGCTCGACGTTGATGTAAGCGCGGAATCGTCGATAAAATGTATCATTGCGTGATTCCTGGGATGGTGCTTTTTGCGCCTGGAGGGCGGCCCTGTTCAACGAAGACCATCATGTCGTCGCGCGACGTTGATGTACGCCCAATGTCTTCAATAGGAGTTCTCTTCAGGCAACGCCGCTCCTTCTGGAGCGGGCGTTGCCATGAGTGACGGCGACATTGATGTGCGCCCAATATCTCCAATGAAATGGTCATATATCAGTCTTCATTGCATTCATGCTACGTACAACCTTTTAGGCACATGTTGTGTGCTTTCCCGTCCTTAAATGCGCGTTCATTCGTCAATATCAGAAACACTCAGATTTCAGTGCGCGCTCAATAGGTGATATCGCATCTCACATGACGTCGAGGTGACGTTCCGTGTCCCGTCACTCCCTCCGTGTCCTCGTGTAGCTTGTTATGCTCGCGTTCGAGCATAACCTCAGCTCTGCTCAACTAGACACAGCTCAGTTCCGCTCAGCGCAACTGGCGCCACGTAGCTCACCTCAGCGCACCAGTGCAGCGCATCTCCGCACAGCTCCTCTCAGCGCAGCGCAGCTGAGCTCGGTGCAGCTCCGCTCAACGCAAGTGGCGCAACTTGGCTCACCTGAGTGCAGCGCAGGGCAGCGTATCCCAGCTCAGCCAACTCAGCGCAGCGCATTCGGCTCAGCCAACTCAGCTCGCCACCGCGCACTCCTGCGCTGCGCCTCTGAGCCTCAAACAAGCAGATGTTGCATTTTCCAGCGGTACCAGGAAGATTATCTGATTCTCTTTTATGTGCTTCTGTCTCAGCCCAAGTACGGAAGAGGAGCAGGGTCAGCGGCAGCAGGGGAGAGCTTTGAGCTGACATTGAACAGGCCCTGAGGTTCCTCACCTGCTTCTCTTCTTTCTTTTTCTCTTTCTTCTGCTTCTCTCTTCAGCCCAAGTACGGAGGAGGAGCAAGCTCAGCGTTAGCAGGGGAGCCGTCCGAATGGAAGGAAAAACACACGGATTACTACGCCAGCGAACCTCCAGCGGACAAGTACCCAGATATCTACTCCAACGAGCCTCCTGCCGACGACCAAGGTACCGCCACTGCTCTGCCCCCACCCCCCGATTGAGGTGAGGCGAGTAGTTGACCTCGCGTTTGTGAGCCTCCAGCAGTCAAGTACCCGGATATCTACGCCAACGAGCCTCCTGCCGACGCCCAAGGTACCACCGCTGCTCTTCTGTCCCTCTTCCTAGTTCACTCAACAGAGGTCCCTTGGAAAGAGGAAGTTCACGCGGATTACTATATTCCAGCAAGCCTCCAGCGGACAGTTACCCGGGTATATACTCAAATGAGTCTCCTGCAAACGATCAAGGTACCACCACTGCTCGGTTTCCCCCCTCCTGCCATCATCCACTTCCTATTCGAGCTGACTCAAAATAGGTGACTTTTGGGTTGATTCAATAGTCATTTGAGGCACCTCAGAAAGAGCCCTCTGCTGAGTAACCACTACCGTTATGCCCCTCCTCCTGCCATCATCCAATTCTTCTCCCGTCTTCTTGTTCTCCTCTCCTCAACACCCATCCACTTCCTTCTCCTGTCATGTTTTCCGAGTCACAGTGTGCCCATGCTATTTATGCTTTACAGGTTAATTTTCTCAGTCTTGCCTTGCGTGCTCCAATCTGTCTTGTTGTCGTTTTCTTGCAGGGGATCTGGGTGCGAGTGCCATCTCGCTAGAGGGCACGGTGCAAGTGGTGAAGGAGAACATGTGGTACATAGGCGATGGTGAGACACCCTCATCCTCTTCAATCTCTTTGCACTCTCAGTCAATCCTTGTGTGGTGAAAGAGAACGTGGTGCATAGGGGATGGTGAGCACTTCTCTTCATTATCTGGGTGCGAGTGCCATCTCACTAGAGGGCATGGTGCAAGTGGTGAAGGAGAAGATGTGGTACATAGGCGATGGTGAGAACATGGGATACTTTTCCCCTTGCAAACCGCCCCTCCCCCCTTCACATCCTCTCCGCTCCAACCTCCACCCTGTACATACGCCCCCTTCCTCCCATCCTCCCTCCTCCCTTCACGTCCTCTCCACTCCTCCCCTTGCATCGTCTCCACTTGCGAGCTTGTGGGAGTTCTGAAGAGCCCCGCTCCCTTTTTCCACTCCTCCATCCCTTTTCCCTCTCTCGCCTTTTGGACTCCCTTTCCCATTCCCATGCCTTTTTTTTTGTCGACTCAAAAACCTTTTCTTTCTTTCCAAAACCTTCCCATCTTTCACCTTCCCGGAACCCCGTTCCCATGCCCATGCCATGCAGCTACTTTTTTAGTCAACTAGAAGAATTTCCCCGCTTTCAACTCCTTTTCTTGGCGTCCTTTCCCGTTTCCCATCCCATGCAGCTGCGTTGAAAAGCGTTGCAGAGGTACTTTACGGGTTCGGAATCAGCCCGACAATACTCGGATACACGTAAGCACCAACCCTCCTCTCCAGGCTTCTGAGTTGAGACATAACCACTGTGTTGGAAAGCGTTGCAGAGGTACTTTACAGGTTCGGAATCAGTCCGACAACACTCGGATACACGTAAGCACGCACCTGTCTCTCCATACTTCTGAGTCGGTCCAAAAGGCACTGTTTTGAGACGTCTCAAAACGTGAAAAAAAAAAAGAGTTTTGAGACGTCTCAATACACGTAAGCACGCACCTGTCCCTCCATACTTCTGAGTCGGTCCAAAAGGCACTGTTTTGAGACGTCTCAAAACGTGAAAAAAGAAGAGTTTTGAGACGTCTCAATACACGTAAGCAC